CCTTTCCTTTCCTTTCCTTTCCTTTCCTTTCCTTTCCTTTCCTTTCCCCTTCCCTTCCCTTCCCTTCCTTCCAGCTTTAATGGTCACTTGCTACATGCAGCAATGATTGGAGCATCACTCACCTGAAGGATAGTTTGCAGTGTAGGTACAAAGCAAATGCAAGGCTGCTTGCATCAAGGAATCGTCCATTAAAAGCCAAGGCCACAAAGAATGCAAAATAGGAATGAGATGAGTTCCAAGGGCTGCTGCCTGTCAAATAACGAGAAGATGTTGCAATACTGAAAGAGCTTTTGTAGGTGTGACTGTGAAGACAATGCAAAATCTAAGGGCTCATTGACCACAGACGGATCTTTTCCAACCTCCACAGTCTCCAAACATACATGCATGTCAACTTTGATGAACCAACCATTTTGGAAGTTGGTATCTATGCATTGAAGAGGATCCAAGTTGGAAAGGTAGAAACAGAGATGTTAATATTACTTGGGAGAAAATATAATTTCCTCTTGTGACATGAAAATTAACTAATGCCTCACAATAAACATACCAATCCCAAACAAAATACAAGTTCAGTTATATTAAAATAAGGGACCAAACTATCACTCACATCCTCAACTCTCTGGATATTCCTGAACAGTTACTATGACACAATCTGAAAGATAAATCACAAACTGGAAGATAAATAAAATAAGGCTGTTGGTTTTCCCCCCTTTGTATTTCTAAATAATCAATTTCCATCACCATTGCTACCCAGATGCTAGGCATCTATAAACAGTTGGATTAACAGAAAGTGAAAAGTGAAGGTCAAAAGTAGATTGCTCCCAATATTGCAAACAGTTACATCTCCAGCAAGGCAGGCCTTTTGCAAATTTTAGCTGAAGGGGAGGGGTAGACATTTCCCATGTCTCTTACTTTGCAGGCTTCATTTCGAAAGAAACAATTTCTTAGGAGCTGCATGGCAAGTTTTAATTCTCTGCTGAGGTTGTCTTCCTGGTAGAACAAAAAAATTGGTTTAGATCAATATACAAGCAGAATCTGGTTTATATAACACATACAGTTCTGCTTGCTTCTCCAGAACTAAATTCTGTAATAGCTTTGTACTGTATAGTATCAACCTAGTTAACTCTCAACTCTTTTTTCCCACCATGTATTCAAAATGGATGATGATTTATGTATGTATGTTTTGCCGCCATTTTGTATAACTTGGCACTTTTGGATGCTGCTATTATTATATTATTATTGTTATTCTTGAGGTGGTGTCATTGTTTCATGGGTGGTGTTTTTTCTTTTGAGACCATGCATGAATGTGTGTCATTGTGTATGACAATAAAGGTTATCTTAATCTTGATTAATTTAACCAAGCATGGACATAGCCAGTATCTAGAAAACAATATTTGCCTTTCATGCTGGGAAAAACCCTTTGAGGTTTAGTAGCCATCCAACCGAGGGTGAGACCATTCCATCAAACAAAGACAGATGCTACCCAAGATCTATTTTGGATTCTATAGAGCAAATCTACCGGTTGACAATAAAATAATTTTCTCTCAAAGGAACATTAAACAAAAAGGAACTAAAGCAATGTGATGAGTGAAAGAATATAAATACCCTCATTGTAAAAGGCTCACCAGAGGTCTGCTCTTTCTATTGACATAATTATACAAGTACATATTAAGATAAAGACTTTTCTAATTATACCAAACAAATTTAAAATTAAAATATTTAATACCATCTAAAAAGACTTGTTGATATAACATGGTGGCATATCCATCCAAGTAGGATTTATCATTCCTCTTTGTATAAAGGCTACAAAATAACTGATTAATATGTACATGGAGGCAGATTTGCTTGAATGGTATTCTAATCATTTCACATGGTTGCACGTATCACTTGAGAAACGTTAATTAGCAAGTTATGTTTTCAAGGGAATCGGAAGATATTCAGTTGAAATAAAAATTATTCTTATCCACTCCCTTTTTCAATAAGAGTCTATTCATTGACAGATATATACTTTGTAGTAAGCATCTTATGTGTTGATTTAGATAGTCATTTAATCAATATCAGAATAAGAATTTTGAAAATGAGAAGCGCAAGATTTTAATATATGCCCTTAAGGTAAGTGATTTCCTCCATCCTTCTTCTTTTCCCTCTGGAGCACACTGGATACTGTGTTAGATTTAGGAAAATAAAACACCATGTAAATATTTCTATCCAGCCCTTTATTGCTGATACAATATAATATAAGGCAGGGGAAGAGGCTGCTTAACTTTTCCATACCTGAGAATGCCTTACAGGCAGATTTTGTGCTTTCTCCTACTTATGTTCAAACCTACCTTAGAAGGTCACCTAGGTGAAGTAGTAGGTAAGAGGGATTACAAGCATCTTCTGCACCATCTATTATTTCTATTTTTCAAAGCATTTGCCCCACAGTGTAACAGTTAACCTTTAGTGCTTGATATTCAGAATCAAATGGAAATTTGAATATGCACTCCTTTGAAAGCAAAACATTTGAAATTGAGACATCATGTCTGAGTAATGCTAGAAATTGAGAAGTTCCAGAGGGAAACATAATTCTTAAGGAAGCAGTCTTAACAATTATACAACAACTGCAGTCCTCCAGATAAAGTGAACCACAACTCTCATCTTCCTAAACCACCATTTCCATCCAGTGATGATGATACAGGATGCTGCACACACACACACACACACCAAGAAAAAAACACTAAAGCAGCAGCATTCTGTTTTTCCCAGAGGTGTGGGATTCTCATCATCCCCAGCCTATTATAACATACATATACAAGAGTATAAGTCTCACTAACTCATCTGTACACAACAAGGATATAAAATGGATAGGAAGAACACCACTCACACATTCAACCATTTTTACATCAATATGGTTAAAATACCTTTTTTCTTTGGATTGCTTTTCCAAGCTTCAAGGACGCTAGATTCAGTTCTGTATAAACATGTTTCATCTGTTCCAAGCCAGTCTCGATGAGGTTGGCTATAAAGAAAAAATATGCATTCTATTAATCAATCTACTCAAAATGTGCAATGGTCAAATGCATACTTGGGCCAATGAGCCAATTTGGACTTGATAGATTGAAGATCTGATATTGAATAAGCTGAATTATTCATTAGCAAAATTTTGACAAATGTAAATAATAAAAATCATGTTACATTCAGATTTGCTTCTTTATTTTGATTTGGAAACATAAAATACTTGTCCTGGGGATAATGTACATTAATTGTTTTGGAAGAATCAAAACATTTTCTTACACTGGCATCTATCCAGCCAGTATCACTTAATTGTAGACAAAGAAAGAAAGGTTATGGACATTTTTCCAAATTTCTTTCGTTTTTTCTTTGTAACAACTGGCCAGGCCTCTTGGAGACATTATTTCTGTAAAGTTTTGTATTTGCCAGGTTTTCCATGATGGTTTTACTCCAAATATCAAAAGAATTCTATTGGCATTGCTTCCTGCAGTCATTACCCTGTATCTATAAACAGCTAATACCAGGATAGAGAAGAAGGACACGTATATTCCGGTCGGTTGTTCAGGTGTATAAATCCAAAAGAAGCTGTAATAGGAATCATCAGCTTCTCATCACTAATCTCACTTAAGACACCATCGGTTGAAAATGGGCCATAATGATGGCAATGATAATCTATTCAATGCACACAGCAAGAACATCCCTGGCAAAACAAGAACCTGCTGTTGACTCTCAGGTTCTTAATTTCCCTGACAGTGAACGTAACCAGCAAACCATCATCCATATCACAAGAAACAGACCCAACAACAGCTGGACATACAAAGCTATTACAATGGGGTCATTCTTTCTCTTTAACTACACAGTGAATGACACCTGCTTTAAAATCCCCAATTTTTAGGTAACATCTCACCTTCCAGGGCACATTTCTGGGCACTTCTACTAACAGCTAAAAAGGGAAGCAAGGCACTGGCAGAAACTTTTTTTACCATATCTTGAAAAGAGTTTACTTCATAGGTCTGTGAAAAAAGCAGAATGGGTTATCAAAAATAAATATAAGATTCCCGATATGCAGAAATTTCCACATTATGCTTTTGTAAGAATTGATTTGAATTCCCTTTATTGATCATCATCTATATTTAAATGAAACATTTAGGAGTACACATAAAATAATAGACATGCAATTGAAACATAATAATCTACTATTGCTCTGTGGGAGAGATGGAAAGTCTCTAAATTTGATTAAATAAACCAAAACTAAAGACATGGGTTATGTTAAATTCCTATAAGATAGCACCATGATGGCAAACCTACGGCACGTGTGCTGGAAGTGGCATGCAGAGCCATTTCTGTTGGCACACAAGAGGTCACCCGGAAGAGACCCACTGCGCATGCGCGGGCACCCCTGTCAGCCAGCTGATTGTCGGGGATCTGCTGCCATGCGTGGGGCAAGACACATGTGCATGCGCAGGGTGCACGTGGGGGTCACACATGCATTGTATCATGGGTGCAGGCACGTGACATGGAAAAGGTTAGCCATCACTGAGATAGCACATGGTGAAGGGGGTCTCACCATGGGCAACTCACCTCAGCCAATTTGCTGCGGGAGAGCTTGCCACGGAACAAGAGTGACACTAATATTGAAGAAATTGTGGCATATAATCATTAAAGAAAGAATGGCAAAGGACAACAAAATGAAAAGTGAATGACAAAAATAAAAATATTTTTTTAAAATATTTTAAATTGAATTGAATTGCTGAGTTGTCCTGCAACAACTTGTCCATTTTAATAAGTTGTCCCACAGTGAGTTGGCTGTGGCATATTAGTGAGTTGATCATGGTGAGTTAACCAGAGCAAGTTGGCTGCGGCGCAGTGTACCCCTCAAGAAAGATCCACATATTTTTTAAAAAAACCCACTCTTTGTCATCTTCTTCCTCTTCTTTTTAACATTTAATAAGCAAGGACACGTTTTTCATTGTCAGAGCAAAAAAAATGAGAAAGACTGGCTTCAGGATCCAGATTTGTCATGAATCAGAGGTTCAGCATCACACTTTCTGACCAGTTCTAAGAGAACTGGTAGCGAAAATTTTGAGTAGTTCAGAGTACCGGCAAATACCACCTCTGACTGGAGATTTTACAGTATCCTTCCCCTGCCACGCCCACAGAACCAGTAGTAGAAAAACCTGCATCTCACCATTGTCCAGCATATAACTTTTATATACTGTTGTTGCTCTCTAGCCCCATCTAGTGGCTGGAGAGGGAAATATGCCCTAAGATACGATCTTTATATACTGTTGTTGCTTTTTAGCCCCATCTAGTTGCCAGAGAGACAAATACCTAATATATGATTTGAAGCTGACCCCACCCATTACCCATCAGCCTGCACTCTCAAAACAAGTGCACACCAGACTCCATTCCTTTTAGCATTTGGAGAAGGCAGAAGCACAAAGGAGAATCTATCTTAATCTGTGGCACATGGTCATCCAAGGACAAACCCACATCCCACGCACAGAGCATTGCTGGTGAGATTTAAATTGCTTGTATTTATTGTTATGTTCAGCAGTAACTCAATACTGTCTTATCTTGTATTTGGTTCTCATTGTATGCATTTCCCCAGTTTCACCATGCCCTGTTCCTTCAATAAAGCATTCAAGATCTACCCACATAGTCTCTTTTATTGGAAGATAGGTGGGTTTAACTGTATGTCAGGCTGCACACAGACTAACATGTAGTGAGGGCAGAACAAGATTCACTGAAAATTGAAAATTGTTTTTAGCCAGCTCTATTACAATCCAAAAACTATCTCTATTTTTCTTATGAAATCATACCTTGACAGACATATAATATTTTTTCTACAGTTAAAATTACTGGTGCCCAAACTGTTTATGTTATTATGGCTTACCTAATACTATATTATAGGGAAAAGAAAAGCAGATTCTTTTTTTCTCAATGTATTTGTCTCCCTTTATAAACTGATAAAGGACTGGCTGAATACTTTTTAGAGACATACTCAATTATTTCCCGCACTCAGTGTTGAACTTTAGAAGTTATTTTTTCTCCTTTATTTTAGGTACCTGCTTCTGATTTCTGTTTTGATTTTGCTACTCTAATTTTTCTCCCTGCAATTGCGTGCGTTTTAAAAACTAGCAAGTGAATCCATCTGCTCCAGTAGTACTGACATGCCCTTTCCAGGATCCTTCTTTTACATAGCTAAGATTTATTACCAAATTGTTGGTGTGACAAACAACACTTTCACTGCTTCCTCAAAAATTTCTTTCCAACCTCTCAGTTCTCCACACATTCTGGAATTGATTTGTTGAAATGTCATCATGAATAAAGGGTAACAACATCAAATCTCAATTCTAAGGCACGCCAGTTCAAAGGACACATAAGATGCAATGGTGACATTCACTATAATGATTTGGTGGGGAAAATTAAGCTGTATGAAGCTTTTAATTAAAAAAAAACACACCCTACTATTCTAGCAAGAATACATCATTGCTTAATATTTCATGTTTTTCATGTGATTTCTTGTTTTCCCATTCATTTATTACTGTGATCCACCATCTCCCCATTGCATGCCTTTTTATGTACAAATTGTATGGCACTAAAGTTGGCAGCAGCTAAAATAACTATTTCCATTGTAATAATTAGTTAGAGATGTTGTCTTCCTGGATAATTAATACCATGATTAGATTGAAATAGCACATACTGCATGTGGGATTTTTTTTTTTTAAAAAAGGAGGTTACGCTAATAGTAAAACAGAAACTGAGGAAATTGTTAGCAGTTCATACCAACAGAAAAAAAAAATTAAGAAGAGACTTGAGGCCACAGCTAGTTGAGAAATGCAAGATCTTAGGTAAGGTGTACTTATCTTTTTGACTTAAATTCTACTTGTCTGGTATAAATCATCAATTAAAGAAGTCAGACTGCAAATACAAGCATCAGCAGATAATACTAGAAACCAAATATAATGGCTTATAAAAGGGAAATAACAAATCTTACTATGAGTAACTCTCCTATTAATAGAATTAAGAACAGAAAAGGAGTAGCTAAATAAAGGCTTAGTTGACAATATATTTAAAACATTTTTTTCTCTACCAGTTCTAGAGCTGCTTTTCTTCTTTCTCTCCCTGCTCCTTTCCCAGTTTTCCCTCTTCTTCCCAGGACCAGTTTGCATCCATCCATCATCCCTAGAAACTGTTTTCTTCCAAAACTCTTGAATTTTGCATTTTGCTTACACAGGTAGTTCTCAATCTGTGGTCCGTGGACCTGGGGGCGGGGCATAATGTTGTCACATGGGGGCTGCAAAGGCTTGAAGAAATGTTATGATTTAAATCTTGAATTAAGACTTGAGGGTCTATGTGGCCACAAAAAATATTTAAAGGGGGTCTGTGGGGGGAAAAAATTGGGAACCACTGGCTTACATTCCTATAAGTTCTACATATAAGTCCTACAAGTTTAACACTCTGGGATGTAGATGTCTTAAACAACTCTGATCTTATTTGGCTCCTAATTGTGCCATCCCTATTATCTTTTTAACAAAACATCTGACAAATAAATAAACACCTCCTTAATTTAATCTTTCTTATCTTGACATGCATTCACACAGTGATTAAGATTAGAGGAAAATGTATGTGAATATCATTAGTTTACCAATCTACCTGAATGAGTAATTCACAAAGCTTGGTTACAGATGATTGGTTCTTCTTTTCATCAAGAAGGAAAGACACTGTTGGCTGATAGCAAGCGTCCTCATCATTGTTGAACTCTCTTTTCCCTTCTTCAGCAAAAAGAAGGGCTAAGAAATATAAGGAGGCCATACACAAACTCGGTTTTCTGGTAGAAAGATGGATACATTCACATAGTGTATCTAAAAGGTCAAAGAGAGTCAACTTTTATGATGCAGCAATTTCATAAATATTAAATGATGTGTTAGGATATGAAATGAACTAACAGAAACAAATACCAGGCAATAAGTAACAGGATGGTTATGTTGACTATATATCAACATATGCCCTACCACCCATATTTTATTTAAAACATTCATTTCAGTAAACTTTGAGCTGTGATGGAAGCCATTAACAGCTGAAACAAATTCTATAAAAATGTTTTATTCCAAGTCTGCATGTCTGTTTGGAGAATCAGAAAGAGAGGAAGCATTTCTAAATTAATCTGGGAGATAAAACCTTTTGTTCTGACAGAAAAAAGTTTAACATCAGCAAAGGATCCATGATAGAGACACTGAGTTATTCAAAAAAGCATTTCCTAAGGTGTGCCCAGTCAAATGTCTTTAGGAAGATGTCCGTGTAAACTGCAGGTGCCATCGTTACATCTTCCACATGTTAGCCTTTTATTATATGTATAATTGTTGATGATTTGTGTAAGTTGAAGGAAAATTTTTTTTAGTTAGCAGGATGGTGCTCACCTATAAACCTATCTCACTGTAGGCTTCTTGTGATCTATACTGTTTCTATGAAGCAATAAAATAATTGGTTTTTATAGTAAGAATCTAAGGTAAGAAATAATAAGGGTAAGAAAGACTCATTAAAGCAAAGGCAGGCAACTGGAGGCCTCAAGTTTGCATAAATAGCCTCCAGGCTATTTTTTTCCCGAGTCCCAAAGCCATCTTTGATTGTTGTACATCTGCCAGAAATTGGTGACATAATTTCTTGACATTATGGAATGAGTACATGAAAACACAGTTTCATATTCAACTTAAACTTTTCTTCCAATCCAGGAAGAATAAAGCCATGGCTCCACCTGCTTTTCATCATTATCTCAACCACAAAGTGTTACATGCAGCTCTTGGACATTACAAGACTCTTGATCTCTGCTATTGTTCAAGAAACGAAACCTCTGAATGATCTACCCATATTTCCCCCCAAATAAGACCCAGCCTTATTTTCTTTTGGGCCCCAAAATAAGCACTAGGGTTTATTTTTGGGGATGTCTTATTTTTTTCAAACAGGCAGCTCACAGGAGGTGGGGCAGGGATGATGCCATGCTAGTCCCCCTGCATGCTTTGCCCCTACCGTCCTGCATTGTCCTCCAGTGCTTCTCTAGTTTTGCCCATCCATGCTTGTTCACTTTATTCCTGCAGCGGGAAGGAGGCAAGAAACCCACTCGAGGCTCCAAGCCTCTGCCCATTGCTGCACCAAAATTCCAAACTTGACGAGAGGGGATTGATTTTTCTGCAGATCATTTCAGGAGGGTGCAGTGAATCCATTCAACAGACAGTGGGATGGAGTGGGTGGGCTCTTAATTACAGCTTATTTTGGGGGTAGGGCTTATATTAGGCACACTCTTAAAAATCAGGCTAGGGCTTATTTTTGGGATAGGGCTTATTTTCAGGGAAACATGGTACCTAAAGGGACAAAACCTCTGAATGAACTACAATCAAGAATAGAAACACAAACCTAATTCTTCACAGTCTCATCTCTGACTGGCGTTTCTGAAGCATACTATAATCCATGGTATCAAAACTAATAAGGGGAAGTCAAAGGCTTTACACTGTTATGCAGAACATTGTTTTAAAACCAGGTATTACCTATTACAGAAGCCCAATGCTTTGCTAACGCGACAGATACAAATGGTAGTGCACTATGACCACATTTCCTTAACAGTATAGCTAAAAAAACAAGTAGGTCTTCCCATGTTCGATGAACTGCAGATGATAATTCAGGTCCTGTCATGTAAACATAAAGGGGGGGGGGAGTAAGCATCTAAGTAAAAGCTCACTTTAAATGTTTAAATATAGTTAAAGACAACAAACTATCCATTCCACAAGAAGGACAAGACTTATATGCCACCCTAGAGGCAGGAAGATAACAAATATATATGGATATTCCAAAATTAAATTATGAAGCCACATTTATTAACATATACACAAATGAAGTTGGATATAAACTGCTTCTAATATTTGCTTTTTTATGTCTGTCTTTATTCAAATTTTTGTATTTCGCATTCACAGACTATGACTGTATTCACAGATTAATATCTTCAAGAGATAATTCAATAGATATCTTCAAAGTAAGTAAGCATATCACCTCATTCTTAAGTTCTTGAAAGTGTTGTACAATATATGGTAACAATGGCAAGCAACAGATCTACCTGGGACTCAAAAATCGTGCTTTGTTTCCTAGAAATTAAGTGGCAGTCTCAGTGCTATTCCCACTTAATTAACACAAAGCAAGAAGCAGTTTGTGCAAAAATAACTTTGTAAACAAGGGTAAGCAAAGAAGAACTGAAACAACATTTATAATGGACTGTTATGACTTTATTGGAAAGCTCAAATCCTTCCAAAAGGGTTCTGAGCTTGAATAAATCCTTATTTGAGACCAGAATATTAGAAACTATTTCTTCCCTCTATCTGCCATGAAAATCCTACCGCAAAAGGGGTTTTCTTGAAAGATTCCTGGAACCTCAGAAGATCAGATTCTTTTTAATGATTCTTTTCCTAAGGAGACCATGAATTCTATTTTTTTTTTTTGGGGGGGGGGGTGTCCCATCAGCTCTCCAGGCCATTGTTCCATCTAGCTCGATATATGACATACTATGTATAGGGATAATATAATCTTTCAGGTAAAAATGTTTCCATTCCTATTTGGAAATATTGAACAAATTCAACAAATATCACTGAAATATGGTGATATTTTGCTTAGCTTCCAGACTGTAGAAAACAAAATGTTGACATCAACTCATACAACTTTTATACATAATTTTCAGACATCTGCTCCTTACCTATGCTGTCCTTGGAGCTAAAGGAAAGAATCACGAAGAACTTTTCCAAAAGAGGCTTCAATAAATCATCTTGCAACACAAGATGAGTGTCCACCAACAAACATGACCTCAACAGTTGAGAAAATGATGAAACAAATTCCAGTAGAAATAAAATCTGCTCAAAAAGAACACAAAATTATTAGATTCTGATATTTGGATAACATTTGTACAACTATTTTTTTAAAAAAAACTTGATTCTGCCTTTATTATTTTTACACAGAAGTCAAAGCAGTGAACATATCCAACATATCTTCCTCCTTCTACCTCCTCCACAACCATAACTCTAGAAGGTGTCCCAAAGGTGCTTTCTTGAGAGGCAACTGAACTTTCTGGTTTTTCTTTTCTTGGAAGACATTTTGCTTCTCATCCAAGAAACTTCTTCAGCTCTGACTGGGTGGTGGGGAGTCAGAATTGAAGAAGCTTCTTGGATGAGAAGTGAAATGTCTTGCAAGAAAAGAAAAACCAGACAGTCCAGTTGCCTCTTGAAAAAGCAATTGGGACAACCATGACCTGAAGGATTGAGCATCTCCATAGACAATCCTACAAGGTGAATTGGGCAGAGAGTGACTGACCCAAAATCACCCAACTGGCTTTCATGTCTAAGGTGGTACGAGAATCCAGGCACCTGATTTCTAGCCTGATGCCTTAACCACTCATCCAAACATCTTTAAATAATCCTTAAAGCAATATAGGGCTGGCATTCTACCTTTAAAAGATAGGCATCTAATCCAGAATATATTTGGAATTAAAATCCACTAAAACTGCTAATTTACTAATGAAAAAAACTTTTATACTGTCCTATCACAAGACTTTGGTAATGTACATAATATCAGGAGTGGGATTCTACCGAATCTGTCTGGCTCTACAGAACCAGTAGCTCAGAAGAGCAGCAGACACAGAACCGGTTCTGTGTCTGCTGCTGTTTTGGCCCACCCGCCTGCATGGGCTGCTACCTGTCCTTTATTTCCTGCTTTTTCAACCACAGCTGCTTTGTGTGGCACAGCTGCGGTTGAAAAAGCAGGAAAAAAGGGCTTTTCCAACTGTTGCGCACCCGCACACAGCGCTGCTTAGCTGTCCAGGCAGCTCAGCAGGTCGTAAATTGCACTCGCGCGACTCGCACAACACAGAACAACAGAACCGGTAGTTATACTGGTCGGGTCCCATTCCTGCATAATATAGACATATATACCTTGACACAAGAACATATTTCCTATAAATTTTCTGTCTCTCTTTCTCTATATACACATATATTTGTGTGTGAGAGTTATTGAACTACATTTGCTTGGAACTTACATAAAAGTCCTCTAAAAAGAAAGTTTGGAAAGTTTTGCAGTATTTTGAACTGTAGTTAACTAGAAATGATGTTAAAACTAACAAACAATTAAACAGAGAATAGCATTAGAGCCTGGCATTACTACCTCATTACAGTGTTTGCTAATTTAGTAAGGAATTATGTAAATTTAAAATATTAGCATGAATAAAATTTTCATAATTGTTGTTAATCACTGAGAACAAAAAGATACATTTCTTCTATTTTTCAAATAGAAAATCCTTTGCATGTAGAAAGCCATAGCATTTTTTTCCATATCATATATTTAAAAACTGTACAGAAATCATCTATTAAAGCTGATTCTCTCATTCTGGCCCTAATTGCTTGGTGCATGTCGAATCTTTGCACTAGACATCTAAAATATAATTAATTTCTTTTATTATATCTCCCTCTTTTTATTCTATAATCAACAAATCAAAGAATCCAAACATAGCATACAATACAAACGTCTCGTAAGTAAATCAAGATGTATACTCAAAGCAACCAATATCTCCAAATTGGCTACACTATGAATATGGATGCATTATCCCCAAGGAATCACGGCCATCTGATACAAACAGGCAATTCTCCTTGTTTCCCCAGGAGATGCTGAGTTAAATTTATGACTAGAACAACTGCAAACTTCTTGACCCATTCTCCCCCACTTCCATTCAGTCTCATCTGATTCTTGGAAGCTGCTGGATAAGTTTTTTTGGCAAGGGTTTCAGAAGTAGTTTGCCACTGCCTCCTTTTTAGGGTTGAGAGAAAGTGGCTGGCCCAAAGTAACCCAGCTGATGTTATGCCCCTGTCAAGAGTCTGAATCTGAGGATGAAGATGAACAGCTGACAGGGAGTGGAAGTGTGGCTCCATTGGCTGTGGAAGAGGCTGGGGAAGGGCAAAGTCCGGCTGGGCAGAGCAGGGGAGAGATAGAAGGAAGATCCAAGCCCAGCCCCTTTTCACCCTAGGGCACGCAGGAGGAAGGGAGAAGAGAGCAACATGGGTTGCGTGGCTTATGGGGGAGGAAAGGGGCCCTGATTCCCTTCATTAGCCACACCTGGGAATGAAAGTTTATAAGAACTGAATGCTGACTGTGGCAGCTGCTGGGAGCAAATGTGACTTTATCCTGTGTTGTAGTTGCTTATCTGTGTTCCTGGCATCTTCCCAACCGTGTGAGTTTTGCCGTGCCATCACGTCTGGAATTCTTGTTCCTGCCCTGCCAAACTAATTACCTCATTTTGCCTAGATTGGACATAAAGTTACAGTTTTTGTTGACCATGTTTTGGACTTGATTTTCTGCAATAAAGGCTGTTCTTGGGAGAGTTTTTCTCCAGCCAGAAGGTAACCTGGACATTGGGGGCAAAGTTGGAACTATTAAAGGGACTCTTATTGATTATCTGACTACGTTGCCTTTGTGCCACGCCCCGGGTCATCACAGCTAACTTTGTGTCCAAGGCAGAACTAGAACACAAGTCTCCCAGTTTCTAGCTTGCTGCCTTAACAATTACTTCAAACTGGCTCTCTAATTCTGCCCCCTAATTACTCCAATTAATCTCACATTAATGACAGTCAGGAGAAAAATACAAGCAAGGTATATTAGAGTGAGCAACATGGCAGCCATACATTACACAACACTCATCTGTGCACAAAACGGTATTAAAGTAAAAAGTAGAATACATTATTTAACATACTTCATATACTCAAGACCAGGGGTATCAAACTGGTGGCTCACGGACCGGATGTGTCACACGCAGGCCAGGCCCACCCCGGCTCCACAAAGGCAAAAAAGTCATGAAATGTCACGTGACGCAATCAGGTTTGACACCCGTGCTCAAGACAGTATATAACAGTAGAAAGTTAGCAGAAAAAACATTGAAAAAGGCAAAAATCTGTAGGATTTCAGGATTGTCACATGGCTTTATCCATTTAAAAGGATTCTTTATACCTGCCTAACAGTGCTTGAAAGACCTTGTTCTGCTTGCCTGGGAGGGTTACCTGAATGCAGATATTCTGCCCACTTTGTTCAGCAACTGAGGGAGTGGAAGAGGGAGGAATGATCTGATTGCCATGGAAATTGGAACATTTTCCACCTGTTTCCTGATGCCTGCCCTCATGAGAATAAAGCAGCACCACTTGTAAAGATCATTAAAAACAGAGGTTTTTGCCTCAAGGGGGAGGCGTGGGAGAGGAAGAAATTATTTCAGTAATTTTATGGTGTAGTCCTTAATGGGTCTAAGTCTACATGGAGGGAAGTAAGCAGTGGGGTGCCACAAGGTTCCGTCTTAGGCCCAGTACTCTTCAATATCTTCATTAACGACTTAGATGAGGGAATAGAAGGGGAACTTACCAAATTGGCAGAAGATACTACGCTGGCAGGAATAGCTAACACCCAAGAAGATAGGCTCAAGATCCAGATGGATCTTGACAGACTAGAACACTGGGCCATATCTAATAACATGAAATTCAATGTAGAGAAAAGTAAAGTCTTACACTTAGGCAAGAAAAACCAAAAGTACACATATAGACAGGGTGAAATCAGGCTCAATAGCAGTAACTGTGAGAGGGATCTTGGAGTCTTAGTGGAAAACCAACTAAATATGAGCCAGCAGTGTGCAGCTGCTGCCAAAAAAGCTAATGCAATCCTAAATTGTATTAACAGAGGGATACAATCAAGATCAAGGGAAGTACTAATACCACTCTATAAAGCAGGCTTGTCCAACCCGCGGCCCATGTCGCCTCGTAATGCGGCCCAGTGCCCACCCCAACCATCGTGCCACAGCCAGCGAGAAGGAGGAGGAGAGGCAGGCGTGGGGCGAGGCGAGCGCCAGGCCAAGCAGCAAGAGAAAAGGCGGGCGCCGTCAGAGCGCCACCTCCTGCTGTTACCACTGCCGCTTCTGCCCCTGCCACCGCTGCTGCTTTTGCCCCCGCCGCCGCTGCTGCCCCCGCCGCCGCCGCTTCTGCCCCGCCGCCACCCCTGCCGCTTCTGCCCCTGCCGCCGCTGCCCCCGCGGCGGGGGAAGAAGCGGCGGCAGTGGCGGGGGAAGAAGCGGCAGCGGTGGCGGAGGTGGTGGCAGGGGCAGAAACGGCGGCAGCAGAAGCAGCAGCGGTGGCGGGGGAAGAAGCGGCGGCGGCAGAAGCGGCGGCGGGGGAAGAAGTGGCGGCAGGGGTGGTGGCGGGGGCAGAAACGGCGGCGGCAGAAGCAGCAGCGGTGGCGGGGGCAGAAGCGGTGGCGGCAGCGGGGGCAGAAGCCTTCCCCCGCTGCTGCAGCAACAGCAGCAGCGGCGGGGGTAGAAGCCTTCCCCCGCTGCTGCTTCTGCCCCTGCCGCTGCTGCTTCTGCCTTCCAGTCCTGCCTCATCCAGCCGGGCTATTTGCAGGAGGAGAGGCAGGCGAGCTTTCTCCCCACCTCCCCCCCCCCGCAAAATTTGGCCGGAAAATAAACTGTGATAAAAAACTGTGATAAAAAAACCGTGATAAAAAATAAATAATTTTTAATAAATAATTAATAATAAATAATAAAAACATCTCACTCTTTATTTCCAAATAAATTTAATATGTTAACTATGTTTTCTATGGTTTTTTGGGATGATCGGGTATCGTTACTGTTATTTTATTTTATGTGCGGCCCAAACCAAATTTTCATCTTCTAATGTGGCCCAGGGAAGGTGAAAGGTTGGACACCCCTGCTATAAAGCCTTAGTAAGACCACACCTAGAGTACTGCATCCAGTTTTGTTCATCACATTATAAAAAAGATGTTGAGACTCTAGAAAAAGTACAGAGAAGAGCAACCAGGATGATTAGGGGACTGGAGACTAAAACACAACGAACAGTTGCAGGAACTGGGTTTGGCTAGTCTAGTAAAGAGAAGGACCAAGGGAGACATGATAGCACTCTTCCAATATTTGAGGGGCTGCCACAGGGAGGAAGGGGTCAAGCTATTTTCTAAAGCGCCTGTAGGCCAGACAAGGAATAATGGATGGAAACTGAACAGGGAGAAATTTAACCTGGAAATAAGGAGAAGCTTTCTGACAATGAGAACAATCAACCAATGGAGCAGCTTGCCCTCGGAAGTTGTGGGAACGCCATCACTTGAGACTTTCAAGAAGAGATTGGACTGCCATTTGTCAGAAATGGTCTAGGGTCGCCCACTTGGGTGGGGGTTGGACTGGATGATCTACAAGGTCCCTTCCAACTCTGATTATCTGTTAAATCTGTTAAACTGTTGCTTGCGTGTCAGGTATCCAAAGTTTTGCAAGTGGGCACACTTTGAACCAGATTTAATAGAGACCTAGGGAAAAGGATACATCTTCTTTCTAAAAAGAAAATGCTAAACCTCATTGAGCATATTATTGATCTTTCTCACACTTTATCTTCCTTTCCATTCACAAGCAGGTTCACATGGGGAAGGGAGATCAAAGAAGCTTTGATGTCACTTCTCTGTATTCAGTTACACAATGTAATTCAGTTACCTGAGTTTTACAACTACACAGCAATCAACTAAGATACTGCAGGTCCTGAATAATTGATGGAGCGAGATGTTAATGGCACACAGATCCCTAAACACATAAGCGCTTTCTTTCCTGCAGTTTGCTATTCACCCCCCGCCCCCCATTTCTTAGTTCTCAGTTATAGCAAGAAAACATGAATTCTAAGGTGAAATTATTCTTGCCTTCTTCGTAGCTGTAGCACTTTGGGCAAATTTAATAGAAGTTTAGTAAGTAATAATGCTAATAAAAATTAACCATTTATTGCTTTAAACCTCTACCTTGCATAAAACAGCACCTGAACATAATATTTTAAAACATCGATTTGTTCCGCAAAATTTCCAAGGAATAAGAAGCTGTGGCTTACATTGGTTAAATGACAGCAGCTTCCAATGTAAAGGATTTTTTTTTTTTAATTCAAGGGAGTTTTACTCCACTTGAGCCAAACTCTATCCCTGCCCGGTTTATAGGAAGAAGGAAACCAGAAAACTGAAGTATCTTATAGTTCAGATAAATAACCTGATGGAATGACTTTGGGCTAGAAATCAAGAGAGACATGTTTTCATCAAATCGAAAGTGATCTATCTCTTGCACCATGCTGCTTGCCACCGTCTACTTCGCCTCTAATTCTAAAATATCCTGTTGGTGAATGTGAAGGAAAGAACACTCTGAACAAATATTTCTGAGAAAGGGCATTTGTTTTCTGAACTGACACCAAGCTTAACTACACCGAAGATCAGTATGGGATAGTAAAATCTAGGCCTGACTAGGAATGGGGCTAAAGGGAAGGGAAAAGAGTGGGAGATAAGTTTGGTTTAGAGCAGAAGAGAATTTGGGGAATTGTAGTCCACACATCTTAAAGTAGCCCATCTTGAAAAAAGATGGTTTAGAGCAGGGGTGCCAAACTGCTTAGATCAGGCCCTGAAAATGGTGAGAGCCACCCCATTTTCACTGGCAGGGGGTTGCAGGAGGCCATTGCAGCTAAAAACAGAGCTTGGGAGCCTGTTTTCAGAGCGCTCGGGGCACCACAGGCACCCCAACACAAGTGATGTTGAGCTGGCCACACCCACCCCGTCCCCCTGAGGTCAAACACAACCCTGATGCGGCCCTCAATGAAATCGAGTTTGACACCCCTGGTTTGGAGGACATGCATATTGATAGGAAAGGGACAAAACTGTTGTCATTATTAATGTCCTTTTTTCAAAACTATACCATGCGACATATATCAAAAAGTAGGGTAGTCCCTGTCCACAGAATCAAAACTGAATGGATATTACAGAAAGGGCAAGGAAAAAACACTCAGGTAAAGGAGAAAACAGGCACTTGACCAACCAGTATCTTTATATCTGATAGATGGACCAGACTGTTTATTTTTTTGTGACATTTTTTCCCCAGGAGGAAAAGTCACCAAGCTCAATATTCTTATATTCTGGACTCTGCCACTAACTTTAACAGCTAAGGCAGTTTGATCACTCTGGAAAACTATATGAGCTATAGCATTTTTAATATGAAAGGAAAACTTGTTAAGATTGTCCAAAGTCACCATGTCTGGATTGCGGTGAAATAGAAGTATTCCGAAGGAGCAGGTAAAGGAAGAATCATGTATTACTCTGAAGAAACATTTTCCTCATTACTCTTATCTTTCTCCTTCAGAATTATATGCAAGAGCCTTTCCACATGCAGAGACACATTCAAGGTAGAAGCAAGTGGTTAAACTTTATTTCTATAGTAAGTAATACTCTATAGCCTAGATTCTCATCAACTGAAGAGAACTATAGCTCTCCCTTAGGAGACATTATGTTCAACATTCAGAATAAACACCAATAAAGTCTAGGTAACCTGACATCTTTATTAAAATGAACAATAGAGTGCCAATTAATTAAATTCAAAAACAGAGGTTAAACCATCAGACAAATTAAGCTGTTCAATAGAAAGGAACAGGAACCAAGCAACTAACCTGCATTTTGGAATATTCCTTATGAGATGGCCAAGATGGAGGAGCCTTCATTTCAAAGATATATCTCTCCAGCAAGCCAGAATTTACAAGACTAACAACAACAAAAAAAGACAAGAGAGAAATAAATATGAACTCCAGCACAGATCATTAAAAAATGGTCTTGGTTATTCACACCGTGGCCTGCATTAATAGAGGCAAGTTGTTGTTTAGTATGAACGTGACTGCACCTTCCTTCTTTTCCATTATATAGGGAAAATCACCAGCATAAAATTTAGTTAGAAACCAACAGGATTTCACTCCAGTCAATAAAAGGGTACATATAACAAGTGCAATAAAATATAGATGCTACAAAAAAGGAAATAATAATAAACACAGACAGCAGCATAAGCAATTAAAATTATATGGAAGGAATGATGTTGTTTTCTCTAGCTGTCTAAAAAGCAAATAAAACAAACAATAGTCTTATTTTGTTATGGAAGAAGCTCTACATCCTGGTTGCTGCTAAACACAGATGAGTTACAAACCCATCAAGTTTCCCTTTGCTAGAACGTGGGACACATAACATGCATCGGATCAGACTCAGAGGAGAGCTGGCAACCTCACAGATACACTGCTTTAGATGTTGGGGATCTGCAGGTAAGAACCACCAGCAGACATGAGCTGGATTTGCATATAAACTGAGTGTGGGAGCCCTGAGATTCATGTTTTATTGCCTATAAAATGCATATAAAAAAAGCAATCTGAATACTGCAATTGCATTTTCTGAATTTTCCAAAGATGTGGCCATTTCATATAGTTAGCTAGATACAGAAGGACAGACCAGATTAGTTTCTCCATAGAGATCATACAACTGGTACCTTAGTCAAGACTTGAAAAAAAACACCATCAGCCAGCAAGGAACAGCTTTAATATTAAAGGCCTAAATGCTGTGTACACGATCCTCCAAAGGAAGGACTACCTGGTCCATAATATGTTTTAATTCCCATTTTAGGAATACTAGACTACTGATTTGTCTATCTGAACTCAGTATCTGTTTGCACACAACCAGTCCAGTCACATCCAATACAGTTTCTATGCCTGCCTTCTTAAGAAACCATAGGAGTACTATCAACCATGGTGATGCAGTGGATAGAATACAGCACTAGAGGGCTAACTTACTGCTCACTGCAGGAGTCTGATTCTGACCGGCTCAAAGTTGACTCAACCTTCCATCCTTCCAAGATGAGTAAAATGAGGATCCAGAGTGTTAGGGGCGATATGCCGACTCTGTAAACCACTTAGAGAGTGCTGTAAAGCACTGTGAAGTGGTATATAAGTCTAAGTGCTATTGCTATTATAAGATTCTCCCACTCCCTGTCCCAGCAAAATAACCAGGTATTCCTTTTGTTTAGGACGTGAGCAACAGTACCAAAGCATTGCTTTCAGGGAATATTAAAAACAAATAGGCCTTTATATGAGAAGGCTCAAATAACATGCTAGGTTAAAATAATAAAGAGGGCTGATACTGTAGGACTTAAAAACACACAACCACACACACACCACCCAAACATACAGGGAAAATAATGAAAAAACCTTCCTCTCACCCCCACCCAACAATCTGGGCTCTACTTAAAGTTTGGGAGCCCAGCTAAATATTCTACTACATTTGACATTGGACCATCTATAAGGTTAGAATTAGGGTAGCTAAGAGTTTTTATTTAAGTTAGGACACGAAGTTTTAGTCTTTAGTCCTCATTAGAGGATACTGATTTTAGAACTAATTCTAGAATGTCAAAACAAGACTATTGACAATAAAAGAAAAAGTAATGGATTCATTATTAAACCGTAAGTAGTTCATTTTTAGTTTCATGTTATGCGCAGTTAGGCTACTGAAATTAACAGTGAGAAATAGCCTCTTTGGATACAAATTATTTGCATCAAGATACTCTGTCATATTATGACTATGGTTGACAGAGCTAAGTTTAGGACTTCCAAACTCATACTTTTAACTAATTTTACCATCAACAGCTATTTTATTTATGTCAACACATTATTGATGTTAATTTGATATATGCATAATGGCTCTTTTATTAATGTTAATATATTTTATTTTATCTTATTTTTATAGTAATTGGATAATAAAGTAAAAGCATGCCTCAAGTCAATTTAATATACAATGTATTTCACTATACACTTTAAACATTTGCCTCTGTAGAAGTTTAGAAAATAGTACACTATTTAGGGATGATGCAAATTTAGTGCATATGACCGAGTCAGAAGACTGTTTTACTTTTTGTATACAGGTCTTAAGAAGTCAGAAAGCAGATGAAAATTATATGTTTTTAGTTAGCCTCAACTAAAACAATAGTTACTTTTTATTTTGATCAACTGCTAATTCAATAAATATGGAATTGTTAAAACTGATCAAATGTCATGCCATATAGACAATAAATCTCAACCCTCCAAAGTATTAGTTTTGCAAAAAATTCACTGAATTTATCATGGCTTAGAGGAGTTTCATTATTGCAAGCAAGCAAGAAGTCATATAGAGAAAGCATGTACGTTTAATAAATAATTTATTTAATACAAAAATATATCTATCCCAGAAATCAAATCTCTTTCATTCTCTTTCTTTTAACTTTTCCTCCCAGCCTTTCAACTCAATGGATGTTGAGTTTTTTGCAAGATCTGAGATTTAAGAGGCCTCCAATGTGTACACAACTGTTTTTTCTGACCTGAACACACTGGCCCCAACCCCATCAATTTCAGCCCTTCGAAATGTTCCAGATTTGCTCCATTTTCAGGAAGGAAGGGATTTTTCTAGTTTGTTACTTTTGAATTCTCAGAACACTCAATATATGTAACAAAGCTTGGGATATCATTTGTCGCAGTCTATTTGCAAGCTCTCTAGTTATTGATCTCTTACCTACTGAGAGAAATTAGTGTATCTGCTCTCCGAAGAGCAATTGTAGTCTCTTTTGGAGAAACAACAAGCAGGTTGTCCAACACACCACACACAGCTGAAAGGAGAGGAGGCGTGACTACCATACACTGATTAGGTCTAATGACAGACTCTGGGAAAACATGTGGACTTGAAGATGCAGTTGTGGTTCTGTCGCTCTGACCTAGAACACAACATTCAAAAGAAATAAGCTGCATGAAATGTGGATTCACATGAAATTATTACTCACTCTGACATGAATCATAGAGAATCAATTAATTCTATTAGCTACATGAAGCTTCAAAACAACTCTTGTGCCAATTGTTTCTGTAAAAACCCAACCCGCCAGTTGCTGTTTCTTAAACTGAACATTCTTCTGTTAGGATAAATAGAACAATATGCAACAGTCCAGTAAGAATCATAGGACTAGGGCAATACAGGCCCAAAGAGAGTTTTGTCAATTTGGAATATTTAAAATGGTAAAACATATTATATTTCAAAACAGAACTGCTGATTTCTGAAAGATAGAGATTTCTGCTTTTCCGCCCCATGCCTTGATCATCTGACAATTTCAAAAATATGCTACCAGGTGATGGCTGCTGTTTGAACAACCCATTCCAAAACTTCTAGCATGCACTGTATCAGTAGCATGGCTAAGAAACAAAGTTGTTTAATACAGTTCTAAAGAGTATCCAACCTTGAGTTACGAGTCGGTTCAATGATGCATCGTGAATCAGACTAACAGCTGGCGAAGAGGGTGCTTCTACTTCCATAGCACATCCCGGTGATGGTGATGCTGAAATTATCTAAGAAAAATCAAGAGGACAACTTTATTTAATATGCATTTTTGTTTATTCTTTAGCTGAGGTACCCCATCTTTTTGCCCAAATGGTGCTCACAATGCCTAGCAGCAATGCAAATGCTAAAATTGGGACTATAATCAAATAAATTCAGACTACTGTAAAGGAATTCAAAGCACAGGGTAAACAAAGAAAGAAAATTGCACGGGATAGTCAAGTAAATCATCTCAACAAAATTTCTGCAGCCATAAAAACAATATTGTCTTTATTTGTAGGGAGAAAAGTCAAGCAGGAAAGAGTCTTGCCTCTCTTAGCAATGAATTTGAAAGTCTGAGAACAGACATTGATGAAAAAAGAATCCTGCTATTCCCTTCTCCACTGCCATCTTCCTGTTCCCACCAATACTGCACATTTAATTTAAGCATGACTGTATTTTTAGAGCCTTACAGGGTGGATAGGAATTCCTTTATAACACAATGCAACCCAAATGCCCCCTCCTCTTTGCTAAGTGTGCAACAAGGAACAAGAGAGTCATTTAAGGCACTTTCAATTTAATTAATAACTTGTGCCCATTAAGCACTATGCCATTTAAAGCATTTCCTTTCCCATTTTGTTACACATGGGAAATAAGATGTTTTCATTTCTATTACCTGAGCAGCCTATGGAAGGCCCAGAAGTATACTATAAATAACAAAAGTCGCTACAGCTTTTTGCTTTGCTTTTCAGCACACTAACTTCTCAGCGCTGATGACAATGATGAAATTAAACATTCCGGCACAGAGCAAGTCAAACACAAAGATGTTTGTGCACTCTGGTGGCCATAGGCACATAACTGTTCCAGAGAACATAACAAGGTTACTTCAGAGAACCTACCTGTCAGGCTTCGCCTTACCACTTAGGAAAGCTCACCAGAATACCAAATAACTAAATTTATTGAAAAAAGTTAAAAGTCACAGGTGAGGAGTTTTCATTAACCTCTTCAAGAACACTCACTAGCTAGTGTGGAAGTTAATTCTCACATAGTTGGTGAAAAAATAGTATGGTACCAAATCAAGTCATTGCAAAAACAAAAGACAGATGGAAACAAGTCCATTCAGGAAAGGGGCCATGTTTTTCGATTCCAAGGTCCAGGAGCAAAATAAAGCACAAGACAGTTTGAATATTGATTTTGTATTAATGGCTTGTTCTTGAAAGAAATGAAATGGGAATAAACTAATTGTCACTGGTCACCTTAAGACTACAGACTTACTTAATATAAAATAATTACCTACCTGAGTCAATTTTCTCGGGAGAGGAAGAAACTTGGTTTGGCCTACCATCAATAGCTAATGCTAATTTGCATGTCAGATATAGGAACCATTCTAGAACTTATTAGTAGAAACAGTTCTCATTCCAGAAAATATTGTGGCGTGTAGTAACGGTGTTTTTAGACAGAGCTCCATTTTTGGAAATGAATGTATTTTTTATTTTTCCTAACAAAAATTACTGGATGCCTTCCACACTGAAAACATCCACAAGTATTTTTAACATTGTCTGTTGGAAGGTGAAAGGTTGTGAATGTGAGTAAAGGAGGAATTAAAAAATAGAAAAAATATTAACCTGCATTAAGTAATTCAAGAAGAAACACAGCTAGTATAATGGAATCCTAGTTCTCCAGACTATCCCATTTCACTGTATGTTCAACTTACCCAAGTATCAGTAGTTGACTGAGAACTTGGAGATTGGTTCCCACTATTCTGGACTCTCCAAGCAGAAAGAGAATCTTCAAAGTCTGGAAAGGGGAGACAGAAGGAATCTATGCTTATAAAAGTTTACTGTTGCCACCAATACATTTTCAGCCTGTTGAAGCATTTCATGTCATTTCAAGATGAGCCATACTTCCTCCATAATTTCAAGGGTAAATCTGGGCATAGGTTTACTCTTCCCTGTAGATCGGGGTGGGTAACTATGGCCATTTTATGACTTGTGGACTTCAACTCCCAGAATCCCTGAGCCACCATGTCTCAAGAATTCTGGAGTTAAAGTTCACAAATCATAAATGGGCCATAGTTCCCCACCTCTGCTGTAGATAGTGAGCTGTGGTGTCAAAGATATCAAAGAATAACTTGGTCATCCATAAGCTTCACTCAGGCAACCATGACACCACGAAAACATGATTAGCCTAAGTAGATCTCCCTACTTAATTATATCAAACTTTTAAACATCCCCTTTCATTATCCAGTAAACAAAGTCAACTGTTTGTGAAATGCTTAGAAAGGTTTTTCTTTATAAATATAAAAATGTTTTTTTTAAAAAAAAATTCAATATTTAGCATATGATGTGCCTTGAATTGTGAAGCTGAAATGTGGGACATAGTAATTAATCTTCACTAATAAGCATTTTATGCCATAGAACTGATGACAAACTGTTGTGTATAATCTTACGCTCTGAGATATTGATTTACCCAACAGTGAATAGACTTTAGGTGAAGATACACTTGATTTAGCAGGATGGAGAAGGGGGGAATGCTGACTGCAAAGAACGCAGCCACAAGTTCCCTATCATTTTATTCAAGAGACAGCACTAAGCCACCAACTGTTTACTTCGTGTATCCAACCTAATTGTCTGCCAAACAAATCTCTAGGATGTACTGAGAATTGATAGTTTCCACTATGTTCCCTTCAAAGAATACATATGAAGTGGCCCTTGCGCACTATGGAGTGCTGCCAAAAATTCTCATGAAATGAAAAAGTATTTCATAAACCCAGTATGGAATTTCTCACAGGAGGTCATTAACACAGTCACAAAGAGAGATAAACTACCAGTCTATTTTTTGTAGGCAGTATCTTAGAGTTTTTCAGCCTCTTCCTTTCTTTACATTATGGAGATATTCTCCTTAAGGTTTTAATTAATGTATACATTTTAGAAATTCCACACAGTCAATTATTCTTTTTCATAATGAGAAAGAATAAATAACCTTTACTAAAAAAAAAACCAAAACTAATTCCTTTTCTACCTCCAACTACAAACACATTTTTTAATCTAACTGAACTAGATTAAGGAGCAAGGGTTTTGTTTACTTTAGAAATGCAAAGTATTGTAGCATTACATATTCACAGAGGACAATACTTTAGATTATCACATAATTAAAACTGTGATCATGAGAAGAAATTATTGAGAACATGGGAAAGAGCAGTGACATTCACACTATGTGAATTCTTGGAAATATCACTTACCATTCATGCCATTCTTTGTTGATACCAGCTGATCTCCCAAGGAAAAATCCACATCAAATGTATACCGACCCAGGTAGCATACCTTTACCATCTCATTCAAATGCTCATAGAAGTGGCAATAATAGAGCAAGGCCTGCAGCGCAGGTTTTCCAGACAGAGATAGACCAGTTGCTTCATCATGTACACAAGGCCCCTAGGAGGAAGGGATGGAGGAAGGGAGGGAGGGAGGGAGGGAGGAAGATGTGAAAATGTTCTTCTTCTTACATTATAGCTTCTTATGTCTCAAAGATAGGATACCACAAATGAAATTTCCTCCTCGCCTCCTTTTTTTCAGTTTTGAGGATTTTGTTTACAGGCAGTCCACGCTTAGTGACTACAACTGGGATCGGCAGCTCTGTTGCTAAGCAACACAGACATTAAGCAAAACATCCCATGATTACATCTGATTTACGTCACTTCCCATTTGATCGTTACACGAGTCACCACAGATCATTAAAGGAACATGAACATGACTTGCAATTTCACCGCCGGCTTCTCCACTGACAATATTTGTCAGAGGCCAGATGTGAAACATGCAAATAGGAATGGGAGATTATGACAGTTGTAAATGTGAGGACTGGTTGTAAAAGACTGGTTGTAAAACTACCCTGTAATCTGCAACACTTACACTGCAAAAACATATGGACTACACAACTTGATCAGGGCAAAGCAATAGACGCAATCTACATAGACTTCTGTAAAGCCTTTGATTCAGTGGTACATGACAAACTACTCCTAAAACTAAAATCTTATGGTATCTCTGGACACCAGCATAATTGGATAGAAGCATTCCTGTCAAATAGACAACAAATGGTCAAAATTGGGAGCGTCCTATCAAATTTTGTACCTGTCAACAGTGGTGTCCCCCAAGGCAGTGTTCTAGGACCAACTCTTTTCATACTCCAGATAAATAACCTCTGTGATCATATTAAGAGCAACTGCATTCTCTTCGCTGATGATGTAAAGCTATTCAACACCACAGACAATATTGCTACTCTTCAAAAAGACCTTGACTATGTTATCAGAATGGTCAAACAAGTAGCAACTTCAAATCTCAATAAATAAATGCTCTGTCTTGCATATTGGCAAAAAATAAATAAATCAGAAAATAAAATACAGGCTGAATAGTCAAGACCTTGTTGATGATCCAAACTCTGTCAAGGACCTTGGAGTACTCATCTCTAATGATCTGAGTGCTAGAGCCCACTGTAAGTACATAGCCAAAAAGGCTTTAAGAGTTGTTAACCTAATCTTACGTAGCTTTTTCTCTGGTAATATTACACTACTAACTAGAGCATACAAAATATTCGCTAGACCAATATTTGAATACAGGTCATCAGTCTGGAACCCACATTACGTATCTGATATTAACACAGTTGAAAAAGTCCAGAAATATTTCACAAGAAGAGTTCTCCACTCCTCTACTCGTTGCAGAATACCTTATGCCACCAGACTTGAAATTCTAGACCTAGAAAACCTAGAACTACGCCACCTTTGGTCCTATCTAAGTATAGTATATAAAATCATACATTGTCAATGAATACTTCAGCTTCAACCATAACAATACAAGAGCAAACAATAGATACAAACTCAAGGTTAATTGCACCAAACTTGATTGCAGGAAATACGACTTCAGCAACAGAGTGGTCAATGTCTGGAATACTCTACCTAACTCTGTGGTTTTTTCCCCAACCCCAAAATCTTTAACTTTAGACTGTCTGCTATTGACCTCACCCCTTTCCTAAGAGGTCTGTAGGGGGCGTGCATAAGCGCACCAACGTGCCTACCATCCCTGTCCTATTGTTTCTTTTATTTTTCTTATATGTATCCATGTATTCATAACTATGTTTTTACTTATACCTATTATCTTGTAGCAATTGACAAACCAAATAAATAAACAATGGCAAACCACTTCTGAAAAGCCTTGTAAGAAAACCGCAGGGGCTAGTCCACGAGGAATAAAAAAAATGAGTAAATCTCATTCCAAAAATGATTGGTGAATTCAGTGGCCACAATTGATTATTAAAACATTTCAAGATGTTAAAAAGAAGGAATTTATAAACATATATTTATGGAAGTCCTTTGTTTTCCCCTCCCAACCTTTACGAATAAAAAATATTTGTCACTACTTTTTGTTTCAAATGAGCCACAAGGGGAAAAATTGCTTAATTATCTGGGCATGTGTGCTTTAATTCTACCACAGAAAATGGGAATTAAAGTTCAGACTATCCAAGCAAGATGTACTGACCAAATCAAGCATGACAGCTTTGCAGATGCCCAGGAATGATCATCACATTGAGTCAATTTTTTTAAATACTTGACTCAACTGAATCCAATTTTAGATTTTTATGCCTAGTAGTTTACAGTCTCAAAGGTATATTAAAACCACTGGAGTCATAATCATGCATGTGAAATGATACTAACCACCTTGAAACTATATAACATTTTTGATCCACTTAATTGGAAATAGATGTGGTGATTACTGACTTCAAAAATATTGTTTGTAAGAAAAGAAAATACTAATCCATAAATAATCATCCTTGTAAATTAATTGTTCTGATAATAATACAATGAATCTTAATCTCATGCACTACTCAATCTGCTCTTCTTCATAACAATATTCAAACATTAAAATAAGATATATAATTTAAATAATCTTTGCATTAAAACTTTAGGACAATTCTCAGTCATGGATTGCTTGCATGTAACATGTGTCCTGCCCTCCCAAACCACCATATTTTCTCCCACTGTGGGCTCCTTGCATGATTCAGAAAAACCATGAAATGGGAACACTCATTTCATGGATGAGACATTGGGTTATATGTGGTTCTGAATGGTGTGGGATGAAAACAATTGACTCCCTATTTGCAACTATGACTTTTACAGAATTTAGTGCATCCTTTGAAAAATGATGATACCTTGAAAGGAATTGTTTAGCATCACTCAGTCACAAAAACATACTTAACTAATTGGCTTCTTGCAAAATCATCTTACACTACTGAATCGGTACCATTTGTTTAAAAACTCAGAAATTCTATCAACACTTTGCAGGTGAATAGTTCATTAATAGTTGGTTATTTTCCATTTGAAATAGCAAATTTAATTGCGAGGTGAATGCTTCTTAATTGCAGTTGAAGACTTGAGCAAATTTGGGATTGACTGTGTATGTTGACAGAAGTAGGAACACGATGCTGCAAAATGTATTAATACAAAAAGAACTGATTACAGTATCCTAGAATTCTAGTTTCTTACATTACAGGCCAGATTAAAAATGAGTCAGATATCAGAAATCTGGGTGGGAACCTCAGGTATAGTCTTCAGTATAGTCAAGTAACATCCAATTTTTAAAATATTTTAAAAGAAATAAACTGAAAAAATATGGCTGTGTTTCATTTTTCAGTTGTCTTACCCTTGTTTGAGAAAATCCTATGTGATTTCAGTTATAATTCTAACATGATAAACATAGGTTGCATCTGTTTTAAGTGGCAATAGTATCTTTAGCAATAGCAATAGCAAATAAACTTATATACAGCTTCACAATGCTTTACAGCTCTCTCTAAGCTGTTTACAGAGTCAGCCAATTGCCCCCAACAATCTGGGTCCTCATTTTACCCACCTCAGAAGGATGGAAAGCTGAGTCAACCTTGAACCTGTTAGAATCAAAGTGTCACTGTGGCTCTTTACACTAGCACTGCAGTAGCACCTAAAATTATATTAATCTTTATGCTATCTTCTCAGTAGCATCTAAAATTGTGTTAATTCCAATATACAGTAGAACTAGCAGGCAGCACTGACATCTTTCATTCAATAAATGAAAATCTGTTCTGAAGACTCTTGCCAAATTCATTCTTATGCTATCAGTCCTAAAGTCTAGATTATCAATATATACCTTAGGTTGTAAATAGCCATCACAAATTTTAGGTTTGATTTTCATTTCTTTAGTGAGCATCTGGACAATGTTAACCATAGAGCCAGTATGCTTCTGTTACACTGGTTTTGCATGTTTTCCAACTGTGGGCTGCTTATTTTGTATCATTTAAATTGAGTCTTAGGTTTTTTTCAGTCCATCTTCCATTTGCTTTGGCCATATTTTTGTTGGTGCTGTTCACTGAAACTTCCTCTGTGTGGATTATTTTTTCCATAGTGATCTGTGAAGGTGATGTTCTTCCATTCTGCATACATGTCCAAACCATCTTAATCTGCATGTTGTATTTCAACCTCTCTTATAGGTTATTTACTGAATCTCAATTCTTACAGTATCTTCAGACAGTTGTGGAGGGAGGTTCCAGAGGATGCTGTTGGTGTCACATTAGGAAACCATCAAGCTTTTTCAGGTCTACATTTAACCATGCCCATGTCTCAAATCTGTAAGATTTGAGCAAGACCAGCAGGACAGTGCCCATAATCTTAGTTTTCAGTGAAACGAGACACCACATTCAAAGAAAAGCAGTAGCCCTGCCAATTCTGATGTGTACTCCTCCTTTTGATGCTGATTTCTGTTCTTCCACCAGTGACTCAAGAAACTTGAACTAATTAACCCACTCTATTTCAACTCTGTTGGGTAGACAGTCTGCTGATGCAATAGGTACTTCTCTAAAAATATATGTATACAGCACAAGAACATTCTCTCTCCCCGCCTCACTTATAAAGGGAGAGAGAGAGAAAGAAAGAGAGAAGAGCAATGTGTCATATTATTATTTTACATTTCACACTAGTGCAATGAATTTGGGAGAAAAAAACACTGCTTCAATTTTGCTGAAGAGAAAGGAAGAATGGCTAGAAAACCTATTACACCCTTTGTCAGTTTTTCAACTGATGTTTCTACCGCATATGCTAATACTTGCTTTCTCTCACACACAACCAACACTCACTGGGTCCAATCCAATAAGGTTTATTTTAAAAGCGCAGATTTACTATTGAAAGAGAGTTCTTAAGCATCCATGAAATATTTAAAGTTAATCACAAGCATACTAAAAAGCATTAAGATAACAGCTTCACACTGACAAGCCTCAAATAGGCAGCTTGCCAAACTGTCTATTACTAATCTGGGTTGGCACTGTTCCCCAAAGCAGGAATTCCATTTTTATCTCTATGTCCTTCAAGTAGCTATATTAAGTTGTTTTAAAACGTAATTTTGCAAATAACTGTTTGAATAACATCACATTTCTGTCAATGCCTGCTTTCAGATATCTCTCTTTGATGCCACTACCTTTGAGGATAACAGAGCCAAACATCAGTCCAAGTAGTGAGTCTTGCTGTCATGGAGATTCCTTTGTTCCTTTAACTGTGAAAAAGGTTTTCTGGCCCTATAACTTTTATTACTAAACCCAAAAGACAGTCTCCCACTGCAAACAAAGGCAATTCTAGTCTGTTTAGAGTTTCAGCAGGTAAGAGGAGTAAGAATATTAGCGATTTTTGAAGAAGAACTGAAGAATGCAGGCTTAAACTTCCAGTGAGTGGTAAAGAAAATGCCAAATTGCAGGAACAGGGTAGCTGAAGTCTCTCTGGAGTTAAAGAGAGAAAATCTGATCACCCGTATGTGTTTTTGCAGTAGGCCTGCTATCAGCTGGGAGTCACATTACATTGTGTTTACAGCCACTAATATTGCGTATATGGATTTTAAATTCAACTGGCTTGTCTCTTCTTAATCATTTTGAATTTTATTTATTTATTATTCTTTGGCTTTCTTTAAAGATTGAGAACCTTCAGGCTGACACATTTTATGAAAATTGCTGGTTGAGTGTCCTTCAATCCTTTAAAAAAGCAGTTTAACTACAAGTATAAAGATCTGTATTTTCTGGAATATACAGCAAAAGGATGATTATCCTTGATTTTAGAAAGTTTCAAACAGATTAGGGACATGGATAGATTTAAGATTTGGACATTGATTGAAAGGATTCTCTCCCCTGGGGAAAAATGTTCTGTTTATAATCTGTACTGATTCAAGACTTTGAAGATTAGACATTAGAGGGCACCAGAAGACTACTTTGAAAGAAATGCCATTTCATTCATGGTAACATGAAGTTTTTGACCTATTTAACTCTTAACTAGCAGTGCTGATGTAATTGCAGAGGATTAAGCCCCACTGAAGAAAACTGAAATTGATTTAGAGATGGAATTAAAAATCACAGTTTGTAAAAGATGGAAACAATGGATTTACAAATGAAAGATGATTATTAAAAATTGAAAAAGAAACACAAATAATAAACCAGATGAGTGATTTGGATTATTCCCTTACACTAAATTTAAAAGAGTGGTTTGCTAGAAATAAAAGAGGGGTTTGCTGGTAGTACAAAGAGAACTTGATAAAAATGAAGAAAAGAACTCTGAGAGAAGACAGATGCTAGAACTTTCTTTGAGGATTTTAAAAGACTGTCCACAGATAGTTTATAAAATTAATTTATTTCACTAAGGTTAAAAGATTATTTTGGGGAATGTTGAATAGCTTCTTGATTAGGACTGGATTATGATGGCTATTTCTGGTAATGCTTAATTATTTTTGAGTGAGGTTGAATTTTTATTATTTTAAGAGAGATAAGATTTATTTAAAGAGAAAGGATGGTTTCAATCTGGGTACAGCAGATAAATTGTAATATTTATGTTGTCATTTCTTACAATCCCTGCTGGACTTTTGTGGTTTAATAGTGAGGGATGAGGTTTTAAAGATGGGTTTATAGATACTGGGGAAAATTATGGAATGAAGAGATGTTAGATTTTAAGAGTTAGTGGTAAGTTCTTAATATTATACTTGCTGGGGATGAAGGGGAAGAATTTTTTTTTACCTTTTTCTTCTGTTAATGCTCTTCTGCACCTTATTTTTTATTTATTTTTCTTTAATGTATCTATTTTGTAGTTGTATAAGTTTTACCTATATAATATAATCTCTAATAAAATCATTGAAAAAAGAATACCTGCTTATTAATACTTAATACTTCCCCTTTTCTAAGTCCAACTTTGAGGAGAACAGAGACAGGGACAATATGATACCATCATATTATATCAACAGTATCAGGCATTCCAAAGGCAGCTTTAAAAAGCTGTGTTACGTTTGTTACATAAATTCTCCGCAACTACAAGAAAACAATACTTAAGCAGCATTATTTCATCCACACTGACACACTTCATTTGACTAGATCCATCCATGTGGCTCAGGAGTTGTGGGAGTTGAAGTTCATAGATTGTAAAAGAACCATAGTTCCCCACCCCTGCTTTGGCCATCATCAACCTATAAATTAATTCTGAATCACCGTGGAAAGCATTTTGATGGGGAAATCTTGACAAATATTGTAACATAAAATGCATAAAACAAATTGAATCCAATCAGTTTGATAGCAAGGGAGAAGGAATGGGATGGTGGATTTGCCTCTCAGAGATCACACCTGTATCTTTATATGGAAAAAGCCACATAATCCTATGGCCTTAGGACCACTGCTTCTATGATGGTAAATTACAACTAAATTACGTTTATCAGTCAAACTGAAGTCAGACATATGTTCTTTTTAAAATGAAAAATACTTGTGAATCTTATTTGAAAGTTGAGACTAGTAAGAGACTCTTGTAAGAGGTGATTAGAGGTGGAGCTCTTGCCTCACGATCAGGAAGCTGTGAGTTCGATCCTAAGTAGAGGCTAATATTAATAAATTCTCCTGCTCGAGTAGGGGACTAGATGACCTCCAAGGTCCCTTCTAACTCTGTCATTCTATATTCTATTTTCAAGACATTTCTAAATCTACTTTTTAGGTTAGCATAACTTGAAAACCACCAAGTTTTTGTTTTTGTCTAATATAGTTTTTGTTTTTGTCTATATATTGTCTGAGGGTCAACAAGACTAGGAGAAAAAACACCTTTTGCATCTCTATTAACAAGGCAAATTGTGCATATTTTCATATCTAGGTACATCTAAAACAGTTTGCACTCTTGCTAAATTACAAATTGTTGGGCATAAAATCTTACTGACAAACAGTAATAACATATAAAGCAACCAATCACCTGCCAATTGGAGTCCTTAGCTTCTTCAGTGGGTAGTGGGATAACTAAAAGATTCTGAAGGATAAATGCAGCCTACAAAGAAAAGAAAAAAGACAAAAATCAACAGTGCCATCTGGCTGCAGTTAAAAGAACCTAGGCTAGTACATACTAAATCAATGCAATGCAAAGTATACATTAAATTCATACTGTATAAGTTTTCTGTTTTAAGCTTTTGGCTATGCAGTGGATTATTTAAAAAGAAATCATTTTTTGCATTTTGTTAGAACTGAAGCAGAGAGAGAAAATTTCCTTTCTATGCAATTTTTCCAACAAATTCTTACACAGATCAACAGCTTAAAAAGATGACAGTATTTGTAATTCAGCTACTATTACATTTATTTTTAGTGCTAATGTTTTAATTGTTACAGTTCAGTCCGAAAATTGCTTCATATTGCTTAATTTTTCATAATGGCTAATTTTGTTGGCTTACACTGTGGAGAAAGATCCCTTAAAATTATTATGGAAAATGGTTTCATTATTTTACATTTTTCTCCTGGGAAATTGCAATCCCAGAATGCCTAGATGGCCAGTCTAGAGACATCTTATGCTGTGTGAAAAACAGGAGTAAGAAAGGTCTTGGGGAAAACACAAAAAGTGGTTTAATGACCTTATTGGATATAGGTATAGGAAATATCCTATTCTCATATATATACATATACACACATGCGTGCGCACGCGCGCGCGCGCACACACACACACACACACACAGAGGTCTAGGTGTGTTCGGGTCTTTTCCTGTGTAAGATTAAGAGTATACTCTTAATAAACATTTCGGTGAGGTCCCACTCGCCATCCTCAAGCTGGTGCTTTCGGCTTCATGCCAGTGCAAGCAGTGATACCTGTATACCTGTACCCGTGAAAATCTATGAAAACATATGTATATACTGTACACACACACACACACACACACACACACACACACACACATATATTAGAATCAATAGATAAGTATTACTGAAGTCTCTTGGAGCAATGTATCTAAAGCAGCAGATGATAACTCTAGCACCATTCGTATAAGAAGCATTTGCTCTCAAAGTTTTGCTTTTACTTTCACACTGTAACTGTTTTCATTGTTTGCTGTTCCTTGGAGAATCTTTTCAGAAGAGACAGAGAGAAGATAGTTTTCTCTGCACACTTTTCTAGATAAATGATGTAGACTAGCATTTCTCAAACTCAGCACCTTTAAGATGGGTGGACTGGGGACTTCAGGGAGTTGAAGTCCACCTGTCTTAAAAAGTGCTGAGGTTGAGAACAGAGGCACTATTCAGCAGGTTCTGACTAGCTCTTGAGAATCGGTAGCAGAAATGTTGAGAAGTTCGAAGAACTGGCAAATACCGCCTCTGACTGGAGATTTTTTCTTCCACTGCCACATCCACCAAGCCACACCCACAGAACTGGAAGCAAAAAAATTTGAATCCCACCATTTGTTGAGAAATACTGATGTAGGCATTTGATTCAATCCAAAAGTATCAAGTTATAATCAGCTGAAAATTCATTTTTACAATTGTGGGATTTACAAACCTCTCTTCGCACCATGCTGCATTCTGATTTATCCAGGAGGATGTTAATTACAGTTCCCCATAATCCTCCTGATATGTTCTGGCAACTTTCTGCTAAAGCGAAGCAGCCCCTGTCTAGTGACGTAAGCGCTGATCCTATTGCAAGTGAAGTGAACTTTACCTAATAGCAATGGAAAAAAAAATCATCACATTAAATTTATTTAAACATTTGCGTGGCTGCTTATCTTAAAGCACAACTCTGGATGTTTATATTTATATATTAAAACTCATCATCCCATTAAACTTTTCAATGCATTTTATATAGCATGTTGATAATTTATACATAACTGTTTAAATTAAGAACTGATTAATTAGTGTTGTTTTTAAATTATTTGCCTCAACCTAGTGGCTAATATTAAACATACGCTTTTAGGAATTAATGGAATTAAAGGATCATACAAAGTCTTGTAGGATAAATATTTTCAAACATAAGAAACTAATCATTTTCCTATAAAACTATAGTAGCACATATGCATGAAGACAAACTTTTTATCCTAAACCCTAATGAATTTTTTAAAAAATCCAAATTTAAAATATCAGTAAACTAAATTTGATTTTATCTTTTTTTCTCTTCCCCCACAATATGCAAAAAGTTTTTCTGATTCTAACAGTCTTATGCATGAAAACATTTTATGCATTAGAATGCAAAACAGAGAAAATTACAACTTTATCTATTAAACATTTTTGAATCCATGATTAGCTATCATCGATTTTGCTGAACATATAGTCTTAAGAGATTTTTTAAGTTAAATAATGTGTCATTTGTATTTTCCACTAGAAAAATAATCTTAAATGTATACAGATACCTCAAATGTATGTTGGGAATGTGAACAAGAGGAGAGTTTTTATAATGCTTGGTGCAATGTAAAACAGCTAAAAAGAATTGGATTAAAATGCATATATTAATTCCTAAAATTTTAAAGATTAACATACAATTGAAACCAGAGATATTCCTCTTGGGACTGATGAGCAACTAGTTGAAAAAAAATTCATGGAACTCTTCTTGGAATTATTTTTCTATGTGTAATAGCAGCAGCAAGACTTTTATATGTATAACAACGGAAATATTTGACACTACAATGGTAAAATGGAAAAATGGGATGGTAGATCTAGCTGAGATGGCATTAATTGATTACTTTGATGAGAAAAAAGACTGATTAATCATAAGGCTGATTGGAAACCCCTTTAGGACTTTTTGCACAAAACAGAAAAAAATTAAATTAGGACATATGGATCTGATGATTAGAAAAATAATAATAGAAAAAATGAAAGTTACACTTCTAATGACTGTTGAAGAAAGCCAGAAGTCACAAATTCTCATATCCTTTACCATGTCACCACTTTTTTCCTGTGAGATTTCAACCAAACTAGCCAAGGGTAGCAGTGTGGGCTTTTGGAAACAATGGTTCAAGAAAAAGCAAGGTATGCTTTTTCTTTCCTTGGAAGCAATGATATATTCCCATATAAGGGAGATTTCTAAAATATACTTTTAAGTTGAACAAATGTATGTTCACCTATTACAGCAGTGAATGGCCTGTGCTATAGCAATAATATGCAAGTTGGTTATTCCAACAATAGGTAATCCATCAACAGAAAATCGGATTTTCTTCTGTAATTCATACTTTTCATATTGATCAATGCAGAGAGACAAGAAAGAAGTTGTTATAACAGCTATTATTTCCAACTGCTGTCTTAGTTTATAGATGGACAATATAACTTCAGAAAGTTGGGATTATTTCATCCAGATCCTTCCACTTTTATATTTAATTATTTGGCTATAATAATGATTGTTTTCCTTCAATTACTCCTTCTCTTTTTTCCTCTCATTCAACTTATCCACAACCACTGAAAAAAAGAAATCTGTGCCCATTCTTCTCCTTGCTCAAAAGCTTTGAGTGAACTTTTTTCAGTACTAAAGAGCACATTAAAAACCCAATGTGAACCAGATGTCCAATCCACACAATGAAATGGTATGCTGCATGTGTGTAGGCACACACACACACACACACACACAAACAAACACTCACTCACTCACTTTAATAGCCTATGTAGATCAACACTAGATACAAGGCAAAATATAATGAAAACTCTTACATTGCAGCAGAAGTTAGATTAGGGCAGTGCAAAGGAATAATTTCTATCCAATTTTAGTTCTTGTTTTCAAAAGCTGTGCCATTTTGTATGCTAATCTTTGCACAGAAGCAAAACATCTGCCTTCCTTATTTATCTAGTAGCTGACAATTGCTAGAACAATTTACAATTTGATCATAATGGTGACTATGTTACAGACTTCTGATTCCCTAACCATCCCAAATAAAAAAAGAAAAGCATCGCACAAGTGATTGAGGTCTACGGCAGAGCAAACAATGTTATTTAAATATTTTAAGAACAAGTTGGTGATTTCTGAAGTCTCTTCAAAAAGATGAAAAACTTCTGTTAATTGGGAAGCCTTAGATGCAGCAAATTCCCATTTCAGTTATTTCAAAAATTCAAGGCAGAAAGCAAGCAGCGAGTTTATTAATAATCATTCGTATATATGTCAATGAAAGGTAAGAAAAAATTGCATACATGTAAACTCAAGATCCTGAGTATATTTATTGTGAACAAACAAATTCAAAGGAAAAATGATCGGCATCAGTTGTGTTTAAAAAGATCCTGCCTCTGTTGGCATTAATCCAGTGTTGTATGGCCAGGAAAGGTTAGGGAGAATCCATTTGTTTTGGTTTGCAAAACAACAAAAGGAAAGTTTCTCCTTTGTATACTGTGGTTGTGGTACAGATAAACAGTAACACAAGGACCAAACAATCTAAAATTCTTTCCTTGCTCGATGCTGAATGAAGAAATAACCACACAAGATCTAAGATGCTAAGAACATTATTTCCTACCTCTGCAGTTTCCAGCCTGGGGGCCAAGTTGGTAAATAATATTTTCACTAGAAGAACAGCACTATTATGGCCACGACAATGGAAAAATATGCAATAAAAGATGTGATTTTTACTAACCTCGGGGTCTCTATCTACCCATAATGGAATAAGCCACGCTAAGCCTTGACGAAATTGACCTTGTTCTTCACTGATATCATATGGCAAGAACCAGAGAGAAACCCAATCCTAAAAATGAAATTTCTGTTAAAAACAGTACAAACAATCTTTGGATTCTTTCCAAAGTCAGTTTACATATACTACAAACTGTTTATATATCTTCCAACATTTAAACCTATGAATTTTTAAGTCAATGAAATGCATATTCTAAACCAATGCTTATATAGCACACATAATAAAAGAATACTAGTATATTTTGTAAAGTTAAAAGCACAGGGGGAAAGGTCACCATATAATCTAGTAAAGTTTGGAAAAATGGAAGTAAAAATTAAACTAGGAACTCATTTCGCTTCCTTTACAAAATGGATTTTATATTTGAAGTTATAAATGTATGAAAAGGTTATGCTAATTTAACATTAAAGTTTTATTAAAGGTTATTGTTGGTTAAATTAAGCTGAATATACAATTAAAAACCTAAGGATCATAGAATACAAAACAAAAGATACAGTCTATATCTTTTATAGGAATGTAACTAACTATTTCATCTAGCCTAGTTGCAAAAGAGTCCTTATGGTGTATTCTCTGGAGGAAATAGCTCTGAAACAGAACAAAAAGGTTTTATATAAAAGGTTTCTGGAATTTACTGGAGAAAAGCTTAATTTCTAGATATGTTGTTCTTACTTTCAGTTTCTCGCAACAATTATGGACACCATTATTTTTAGTTCAGCCACATTTAAATGTAGTGGTGGTTACACATTAACGTAACAAAAGCAGACTTAAAAAAACAAATGAAGATATCAATTCACCTCAGTTTTTGATACTCAGTTCTCCTTCCCATCATCAAAAGGCTGAAAGAATACATTTCTCTTACTAGAAATCTTGACTGATCACTGATGGAGGAGTTTTGACATTAGTTGGGGCCCACATATGGCCCAAGGGTCAGAGATTACTCATATCTATTATAATATAGCACCAAAGCAAACCGGTATAGGTGTCTAGCAAGAGAACTTAGATTTAATTTGCATATAAGCATATAAGATGAATAAACTGATCAGATGTTGTATAGTCAAATTTCACGTTATACAGTAGGTATGTTGACTTTTATTCCACCGAATGCATAGAATGGACAATTACAATAAACCAGGGGTGTCAAACTCACGGCCTGCGGGGCAGATGCATCTTGTGCTGGCCATGCCCACCCTTATTTTAGTGAAGGGAAAAGTCATGATACATCACGTATCATGTGACGCCACAAGTTTGACACCCATGCAATAAACTGTTATATACTTTAAAAAATTTGTTACTCTCTAATGGGAGGGGGGGGGGCTAAAAATTACCATCCACTGATTACCAAACAATCTATTTTAAGTATCTAGTCATATAACCTCGATACATTTTAAACTTTACTATACATTTAATCAGTCATCAGTATGGAGGGCAATGGTCCTGGTCCTACTTCTTACAAGCCAAAAATAAAGTATTCATGCTGCAATATAAAAATAATATCAAGAATAGTGAGGTGCGAAAAAAGTTGTACCAAGCCAGTGGTGCCCATTGTCCAACCTTTCTGGCTTGGTGGCCCAGTGGGGGGACAGAAGATAGTTCCCTGCCTGCACAGCTCCATTTGTGTGAGCGGCCACTGCTGGTATGAGGGAAGCTTTGCGTGCACGCAGGCGCTGACCTCCATTTGCGCGGCCCTGTTCCAAACATGCCTGTACTAAGCAATGTAATAATCAAAGTGAAGTTTATCTTATTGTTTTCATACCTCATCTAGAGCCTGAACACTCATTTCATGGGACAAGTGAAGCAAACAAAGGACAGCACTCTTGGTAACACCTTTTCCCATGAAAGACATGGCATTGCCTCCCCACTCAACATAAAAAGATGAGATGACCTGAAAGGAGAAGCAAAAAAAAAAAAAAAATGCTGTTCAAAGGCATCACAACTTTGTCGCAGATATCAGCTTATCAACCCTTAAAGTTAAACTCTGGAACAATTTTGAAGGCTGCTTGGGGAACTGAAAGTTCGTTTACATGCAGATTCTGTTCTTTCTGAATTCCGAAATAGCTTCGACTATCTCAATGCATACATTCAGCAATTATTAATTCTTGTCCTTACTGGACGCTGGCCAGATGTAAGATGCAAAAAATGTGTTAATTGTGTCACTTTGGGGATATACAAAGAGTGGGAAAGTTTAAAAGCCTGTAGAATTTTAATCAAGGCCTGAAAAGCTGACAGCTATTGTGCAATATATCTGGGTATATAAACTGAGAGATAATATTTCCTTTAAAAGAATTATGCCTGCATAATGTACATCTAAAGATCTGGATTACCATAATTTTATTCTGCTTATTTAAACTATCATTTAGTTCATTTTCTAAACTCTGCAAAACTCAAATTAGATGTGATATAGGATGTCTTTCATAAAATTTCTGTTATTTTTAAGGGATAGATAACAGGTGTAGCAGGAAATGGATCTGATCAGATGAATTATGGTTGAGGAAAGCTAATTCACTCTCCCCCTTACTCATTTTGTTGCAATTAAGTATACTAACTGAAAAGATACTACAAAATCCCTTGTCACATTGTAAGGCTCCATTCTTTCCTGATCTCTCATTTAGACTGCAGTCCAGCAGGAAGATTTTTTTCTTATTAATTACACAAAAGTTTCTCTAAGACTTTTTTCAGCTGCGAAGTATTTTTTCTAACACAATGATGAACATATGATATTTAAATTACACATAACAACAATTAAAAAATATTATATTCTACTGGGCTCTATGTTAAAATGTTAGAGTCTATTTGTGGTGCTCTCACAAAGGAAATGATTTGAGGATTAGGCTTTTGTTTTTAGAAATTAACCAAGTAATATGGAAGCTATTTGAAAATAAAATCCAATATATGTATTTTCTATCTAATTCATGTTCAGAAGGGTAACTATTATATGACAAGTGTGTTTTATAAAATTAGCAATAGACACACATTTGTAGCCCACAGTAATGAAAGGTGTAAACATACAACAGTTATTAATAAAACTATTCATTGACCAGAACCTGGTAAAATACTACATTAAATGTTTTCAAAAGATGAGTTCCCTAGAAGAACTTCCAATTGTACAGGACACAGTGAAACTTGTCCCCCTTCTCTCTGATGAAATCTTGGCTGGAGTATCAAGCATTCTGTTTAAAGCAGGGTCAATCCACTCTTTATTTCCCAATCACACAAAATTTATTCATTGTTCATTTACCTCAAGAAGCCCAGCTAAATATTTCTTGCAAATCATGAATGGCTCCACTGTGACAGAGTATGAACTCCAGCCTGGCAATGCTGTGACATGAACCATACTATTTAATGTCCTTTCCAAAAACGGTAATCCATAGAAATGAGGGGCATCTGTTACTCGCAAATACTGCAGAAGCTTCAAAGCTAGTTCTGTTCGGAAATAGCCAGTAAGTTCCAAATCTTTCCTGTAAAAAAATAGAGAAAAAATAGGGTATTAGAGAGCCAGTTTGGTCTAGTGGTTAAGACACCAGGCTAGTAACCAGGAGATTGGGACTTCTATCACACTTTAGGTAGGAAGATATCTGGGTGACCTTGGGCCAATCTTTCCCACTCAGACCTAGGAAATAGACCACAGATGTCAAACTCAAGGACTGCGGGCCGCATCCAGCCTGTGGGGTGCTTAGATCTGGCCTGCGGGGCCACCCTGAAAACAGTGAAGGATTGGGCCACGGTGCCTCTGCCAGCAAAAACATCGCTTGGAAGGGCTGTGTGTGGCCCTCCTGAGCTCCATTTTGGCCTGCAACAGCCTCCTGCAGCGCTCTGCCAGTGAAAAACTGAGATTGGGAGGGCCACGTGTGGCCCTCCTGACCTCTAATTTCACTGGCAGAGCGCCGCAGGTTATCACAGCCAAAAATGGAGCCTGGGAAGGATGCTCACAACACGAGTTATGTCAAACTGGCCATGCCCACCCTGGTCATGCCCACCTGGTCCCTGAGGTCAAACATAACTCTGATATAGTCCTCAATGAAATTGAGTTTTGACACCCCTGAAGTAGACAAAGGCAAACAACTTCAGAAATCTTGACAAGAAACCAGAAGGAAACTTCTGAAGGACTCCTGGGATTCTAATTAAGCTTTGAGGAGGCCGATTGTGGTCCTGGGACATCAGATCTTCAACTTTAAGAAGCAAATAATTATACTAATGAATTTATTGCTGGCTATCTCATTTTATGCCATACCTGTCAGTAACAGACATGAAACGGAGTAGAAGTGTATTAAAGAAAGCAATCAATTCTTTCTGCAATTGTTGTCTTACAGCTGTCTTTAGCTCATCAGCTTCATCTTGGGCCGGAGATTCTGGTGGTACCACAAGATCTAATAGAGATTTTGGATTCTGCACAGGAGATCAAGGCATAACATCATTATAGAACATATGTTTCATTACCTATTCTCCAACAAAGCATAAAACTCAAGTTGAAACTAGCAGTTGACATGCTTTTTTCATATTAGAAATAAGCTATTTAAGAATAATTTTTCTTAATACAGAATTAATACGCTGCATAATGGAGATCGCCAGTTACTCAATAAACTAATTTCAATGAGATAAAAATTGAAGCAAGCAGATGGTAAGAGTTTCCTGGCAGAGATATGACAAATTTACCCAATGGTTTATTAATTGACACTGACACCTTGGCTACAATCTACCAGATTCAGTGAGTTTTTGAAATCAGTTTTCTTTTGGTGAATATATTTAAATGTACTTCCTGTTACAAAAGTCATTCTATGGCAAGCATGCATTTCTCCTAATCTAAAATTGATTTTTATTCTGAAATCATGATTGTTTCTAATGCACATGCTTCTTGTTGTGGAAGCTCGTGCATAGAATAGAATAGAATAGAATAGAATAGAATAGAATAGAATAGAATAGAATAGAATAGAATAGAATAGAATAGAATAGAATACTTTATTGGCCAAGTGTGATTAGACACACAAGGATCTTAACTTTATATGACACCTTACCTTTATATGAGATATCTTTTAATAATGGTTGGATAAAAATCTAATGAATGAATGAGTGAGTGACTAATGGGACAAAGGCTCTTTTTCTAAAAAGAGTCCCTAGAAGGGACTCCTCCTCCAATTCATTCCAGTAGGCTGGGTCAGGATTTTAGACCATAGTATGGGAAAAAATTGTCATCTTCTAAGTTAGATTATCCATACAGAGTACTCCATCCAAAAAGAAAAAGAAAAGAAATTGACCCCTTCTTATACTTATTATATACACATAGTAAGTATACTAAGTAGAGATAGTCTTTTGAGACAAATATAACAGCACAGATTTGTATGTACAGGAGTACTCTGGTATTCATTATAAATTGGTTACAAGAAATGTGATGATTACCTAAAATGATGAATACTAAACACATTTTTCCCATAAGGAATAATGTAGTGAGTGACAAGGCAGCCAATACCGACATTGAGTACCAAACAAACATTGAGAATTGGGACAAAATGTTTGTGCCAAAATGCATTGATTACCAAATTCAATTGAGTTTCAAAGCAGTTGAATACCAAGGTACAACGGTATATGAAAATACATAATCCGTTGAAATCAGGTGTTACTCAAGACCCGTACATGCTTCAGGGCCACGTCCAGGATCCATTTTAGGTGCTCAAACTCTGAAATATTCTTCTGTTCTTTCATAAACTTGTTTAAAAAAGATATGACATCAGCCAAAAGTTTTTCATCCTCTGAAGACGCTGGAAGCACTTGAAGAAACCTGTTACGCACAAACCATAATGTTGCACATGTAGCAGTATCCTGTCACTAGCATTACATGATTAAGGTAGTTTGCTGAAATATAAAGTTAAACTTAGAGACTGAAAACAGCAACGTGCTGATGCTAAATATAAATGTCAGAAATACAAAGCAGATGAATACAAGAGGCCTTTTTAAAATAATAATAAAAATAATAAACATCAAAAAGTTCAACTATGAAACACCATATTTAAAAAAAAAAACATAGCAGAAGGAATGGTCAAAGAAGAAATGTATTGCCTTTAACTTTTTCCCTATCCTTTATGCATTTAGCCTCCATGGACCATCTGTATATTCAAATCATACAGCCGGAAAATTGCCAGAATCAGGCATCTCACTGATCTAGGCATTCCTAACAATATTCTGGCAGGCAGATGAATGCAGTGCTTACAGTAGGAAGGGAAAAAGGGCCAAATATGTTTTGTAGCACTGCTTTATCTTTAACCAGCCTGTGAATGTTAAAACTTCCTTTTTGGTTGCTAAATACAACTGATTTACCGTTTTCAAAGGCATGTCTTGCTGCAAAAAAATGCTTGGGAAGATTCTAAAGAAACTGGCTGTCTTTGAAAATGTTGAAGCTAAATCTACAGTGACAGATGGCTTTGTAGTCAGTTAGGTACCTTGTTCTTACATACCAACCTGCTTAATGCTGTTTGCCAAGCCAACGATTTGAAAGTGGCTCCACCAGGACTACCGCTGCACATTAATGCCAGTCTATCGTTCAAAATATAAAAAATCATTTTTGTGACAGCAGCCCTAACTTCCCTGTGGGATGCTGCTTGAGTGATGGCATTAAAACAATCCTGCAGACCGAAGGTTGCACACGTTAACTTAAGGATATTAATATCTTCTGAGGAGAGCTTTAAAGTGCTGGAAAATCTGCATTAAAAAAAAAGAACGTTAAAATGACAAAGGATTTATTTTAAAATAACCAACGAATATAGCATCTCAATTTATATTTTGTTTTTTCTTCTTTAATCACATTAATTTAAAATTTTATCTTTTTGGTTTTGTCAATAGAATTTGTCTTCTTGTTCTGTGGGGCAGTTCATGAAGAAATCTTTCACTACAGTCCTTTTTATAACACACCCATTACAGAATACACAAAAACTATCACAAAAATACGCCCAATCAAGATTGAAGCTACGGAAAGTTTAAGGAAAAACTAAGGATATGGGAGAAATGAACTGCCTGTTTTATTGCTTGTTAATGATTTGGAGAATGGATCTCTGTCTGGAAACTTTATTAGGAATCCTTGATTTTAAAACATTCTTGGGTTCCTGTTTTCTCTATCCCTGATTCATTAATCATACTAGCTGGAAATGGCAGGATTTGAAGTCTAAGATTCCCAACCCTATTCCCAAATGGAGTTTCAGTGTTTTATGGTAGGTGCCATTAATTAAAACAAAAGTATAAACATTTCCAAGTGAAGACCCAAAACTAAGTCAGGACTGCTCTTTTTTTAAATACAAATTGGAACAACAAAATGAATAGCTTACTGTTCTGCTGCTGTCTCATAACTGGCAAGTGCAACTAAATTATCTGCTCCATGGAACCAAGACAAGTTCCAAGCCATTTTTAGCATATCTGACACGTGTTTTGAAGCCCAGAATTCACAAGAAAATGGTAACACCACTGAGTTAGGACTGACAGCATGATGTGCAGAGAGTTTAATAGGTAGATGATACCTTTAGGAATAAAAATGGACAAACTGAAACAGTGCTGTTTTCAGAGAACAAAATTTCTACTGATCACTATTTGATTATAGTCATGGTAAGACTTCTAAAAATTTCTTTACACACTACTCTTACAAATGTATATATAATAAGTTCCTATTAAGGTTACTGACAGTCTCCACATTAATCTACTTCAACCAATTCTATAGAATCAGTTGATCATAAACTAGAACCCAATTGAAAAATAACTTTCTTATACCCCATCTTAAGTTATACCTTGAACAAACAGCAAGTCAACAGGAGCATTGTAATATTTTAGCTCTGTGTATTGATAGAGTATACACACTGAATTAAGACATAGTTTGTTTTAATCATGGTTTAACAAAATATAGTGATTGAGGTTCACACATACTTTGGTTTAACAAAATATAGTGATTGAGGTTCACACATACTTTCAATTAAGGCCAGCCTATCATTTATTGCAATAAATTGAAAACTACTAACTACATTTAAGCCACAATTGTAGCTTGTTTGATTTTCATCAGCATGAATGAACTCAGACCTTCTGCTTTGCAAATCATGGCTTATGGTTAATATATGAACTATGTCACTTTGGACTGCTCAAACAACCTCAACCATTGCTTAAAATTCTGTGAGTCGGTGTCCCGTTTTTGACCGATGCTAGATGGGAAAATATAATTACAGAGTAACAAAAGGAAAAAAAATGTGTAAACTGCTTACAAAAATACATAAAATTCAGGTATTCTCAACAGAGTAGTGTTGTGGGTGGAAAGGAGCAACATAAATTGATCAAAGAAAGCTTTCCCTACTGTTGCCCCCACCCTGTGGAATACTTTATCTCCCCCACCTAGAGGTTAGGTGGGCCTCTACTCTCCTGGCCTTCCAAACAGGAGTCAGAATATGGCTCTCTGGCCGCACATGGGAAGCCTAGAGGAGCATGCAGGCCCGAGGCTAGTTAGTCCTTCAAACATACGTGAAAGGTTTTCTAGATTTTTTTTTATTTAAAATATTTCCTTCACAGTGCAAAAACCAATATTTCTGCATGGTTAACTCTTAACATGATTAATATCTCTTACCTCCTTACAACAGCAACAGGCAAGGTGAAGTGGGAAATGCTGGAAGGATCACAGGAAACAGTATCAGCCCTACATAAAACAAACCAACAAATTCAAACAAAACCAAAGAAGATCCTAGGTATTAATCAGTATATGCCTTAAATGTCATATATGTTTAGCTAAGCACTGCCATATCTACACAGGGCAATGCTCAAAGGGTAGTGAAGGAAATCTACGTTTTAGCTTTATGTCTATCATAAAGTACCAAATCCAAGTCCTTAGCTTTCTTCTTATTCAAAAATTGGCTAAATTTGTCAAAAGATTCGATAGGACTTCCAGACAAGAAGGAAGCCTGATACACAACAAGGATTTGCCAGGCTCCAGGACAAAGTATCAAACACCCTTTTAAAGATATTAATCTTTGACAATCTTGGAAGGCAGCTAATAAATACTGAAATAAGGATACTTTCTAGCCTGGGAAATTCTGGTTTCCATCTCATCAGCTTCAGCCCTTACAATATCAGCAATATAAAGTGGGGAAGCGGGAGGCAGGATCAGAAGGACAATATAAAATATCAAAATATGGCTGCCTGGTCATGAAAGACCAGATTGATTGCCACTCATTGAAACTGGGGTGCCCTCCTGCTGCTTCCCTTGCAAAACCCCTTTCCATTCAACAGCCCAAAGCAGACATTTTTGAAAGCGACAAGCTAGAATATGCACATCTGACAAAATATTTAAGAAAACAAATATCTTTTTTAAAATCCTGTTTTTAAATAACTCTTAAAATATTTCACATCTTATATAAAATGTATAAGTGCCTTCTCAAAAACCACTTAGGGTGGCGTAGAATTGAAAGAACAAGATGCTAATAAAATAGCACCTTGAAATAGAACGTAAAGTAATTTCTGCCAACGGTATTTCAAATAATCACACCAGCAGGATTACCTAAAATAAAGTGGCCAATTTTCAGGTTATAAAGAGAATTAAAATTTATTTTAACTATAAGATTGAATATCTGAATCAACGCTTCATTTGATGAGTTATTATTTCAATGTTATCCAAACGTATTTTGCAATAACGGCATTACTAAAAATATAGATATTACCCTTAACAACACCTTTGTGGTAAGAGGTTTTAGTACAGCATTTTTATTAACCCATCAGCAATTAATATGGGATGGAAACATCTGTCACATCTTTCTGTTCTGCATTTATTACCTTAGCACATCTTAATTAGTCACCTTGTAGCCGATGGAGCTGTTTTGGTAAAAGGTCCTGAAACATTTCCTCTAATGTGAGCAGAAAAGTAGGTCTGATTATATTTCTAGCAATGATAGGCTTTGATTATTCCAAGATGTCAGCAGGTACCATGCTACTCTGATGTTTGCATCTATATAATTTAAAATAGTGCTATAGTGAAAGGCAAGGCGACAATCAGCCACTGTTTTATATTCTATTTGATAAATGCAGGCAACGGGGGAGGGGGGGGAGGGAGGGGGAGAGAGAGAGGGAGTTTAAGAGAGAGAGAGAGACAGAGAATGCATGTGATATACAGGCATAAATGTTGTCTATAATCTACATATATTGCAGCTGGCACTAAAAGAATAGTTTGCTTGCAGGAGTAATGAAGTAACACAGAACCAATCTCTATAGAAATTACCCTACCACATCTCTTTCCTTGCTGCTTCATCAAAAAGTAGTAGACAAAGTAATACTGCTGTTTCACTCGTGATAGCATCATAATCTTGGAATATCAAGGCAACTGAAAATAGAATAGAGACAGTTACATTTTTTTTTCTAAACAGCATAAAGGCTTTCAAGAGTCTAAATTCCAAATTTCCAAAGAACATCAAAATTAAGTACTTGCTCTTATGATGTAGCAATTAAGACATATGGGAAATATTAATTTTGCTCCTAAAATGGCAGTGTAGAAAATCCAAATATATCCAGATTTTTGGGAACAAAATATTTGTAAAAATATCGCTCCTGATATTTATTTGCTTAATTTAAAGATATAAAAAGCAAATTTTAGTTTGCTTTGATGATGTTACCTCTAAATAACACAAGCAAGACAGAAGACTGGTAAGCCAATAACAGGCGTTTGACTGGATCAGCAGAGAGAAGTTTCCGCAAAAGCGCAAGACATGGCAACATCATACAGTTCATGATCTATCAAAATTTAAAAAAGGGTTTGTTAACTAAAATCTATAGTAGTAACCTACTAAGCATTCTGAACTTCTCTGAAATCAACACTCTTGGAAGTTTAAAGTAATGTCTTTCAGTATGTTACTTTATTCCATTATTCACAAATCCATATAATCTACTTCTCATAAAAAGCTCGTATTTTAATATTTAATTCCAAAGACATAAAGGCATTAGAAATAATCTGTGACACATTTTTTGAAGCAAGCCTCTTTGTTTTCTTTTACAACACAGAACATCTAATATAGAGGAAAATTTGCAAGAGCTTTTAATATTTCATCCCAATTCACTCACAGATAATTAGAATTAAATTAAATGAAGGTTTCTATTATTGTTTTAAATAAAGTCCTTCTAAATTTGTTTACAAAATTAGTTTCTGCCAGGAAAATTGTATTGTAATCATGAAACTGAACAAACCATTCTTAGATATACAAGTAATATTGTTCCAAAATCTCTGAAGTGGGGGACTTGATTGGTTTTGGCATCATTTAAATCATGAAGAAAAAACTAAACACATTATTTAATAACTGATAGGATTCATTTGGCTACTCCTGCAGTCCTTCAGCAATACTACTGAGTTGAGACTCAGCCTGCAGGAACCACCATGTAAATTTATCTACCATCTGAACCATCTGAGTTTCAATAGGATTTAACCACCATTCCTTTCTGGCTTCCCACTTTCCCTCAACCCACTGCCATGACCCACCTATCTTCGCACATGGCTACTAATGATATTACATTGTATTCGTGTAGACAAGAAAAAAATTAGTATCTTCCTAATTCCCATCATTCTTCACTCCTTCCTCGCAGGTAAGCTGCTGGTTTTTTTAAAAAATATAACATTTTCTATGAGGAAAGTGGACATCATATATGTGGTTTTGTAGAAAAAGAAATGAAATGCTAGCATTGTTTTTTAAATTAATCAATTCCTAAATAAGGTAACAAACTGGAATGCTCTTATTTAGCCATTTGTGATGTGGCCATTTATGAGCGCTACTTTTTAAACTTGGTGATCAGCTAAATTATAACAAACTATTTTGCCTCCTAATCAAATAGCAAGAGAAGAGAGGAGAGAAAGAACATGAGTCTGGGGTTCCATCTTAGCTCCTTTCTTCCTCTGCTTATTTAAATGGCAAGTTTCTGTATGAAGATTTATTTAGCGTTTTTTAACAAAGCGAAGAAGTGATACTAGACTCAACGAATTAGACACCGAAATTTCCTTTCATTGCAGTCCACAAGTTTAGTCGCCATCCTGAGATAATACTTCTCATATTCCAAATAGAAAATATTTAATTCCTACCCAAAATTATTTGATTGAACATACAATATTTGGAAACCTGGGATGGTTCTTCTGAAAAAAAAAGTTGAAGTAGATTTACCTTGCCATTCTGAGCAACACACTTAGTAAAGTAAGCAAGAATTCTGTCCACTGCGCCCATATTTTTGATAATTGGATGCAATTTAGAATCTAGAACGGAAAAAAATAAAACATTAACTTTCCATATACACACTTTAGAACAGGGGTCTCCAAATTTGGCAACTTTAAGACTTGTGCACTTCAACTTCCAGAATTCCCCAGCCAGCATGGCTGGTTGAGGAATTCTGGGAGTTGAAGTCCATAAGTCTTAAAGTTGCCAAGTTTGGAGACCCCAGCTTTAGAACAACATATAACACTGGATTCAGATGGATTCAGAACTGCTTTATCTATAAATGGGTACTAGTTTATATATTAGATAAACTAGGTACAGATAAGTATGTGTCTCCTTCCTGCAATCATTAAATTAGATTTAAATAGTGAATCATGAATCCCAATTTGCTGTCAATTTCAGTTCCCTGTCAATCTTCCAAATATTCCCATCTTAACTCCTGTCACTCTAGCTTTCTGATTATCACCCACTCCCCTGCTCAGCCAATAATAATGCATTGAATATACTCTTCCGTTACAAGTCCTTGGTCCATTTTGAGGTAGAGAGGAGATAGTGGAAATTACTGTTATAGGATTTCCCCCCTAGCTTTTTAGTATTTTTGCTAACTATGATTACCTTCTGGATATGCTGATATACTTGAAGAGGGATATTTTGAACCAGCTCCTGAAGAATTGAAAGAGGATCTAGAAATGTGCATGAAACCTGCCACCAAATGTTGCAGAGTGAAGCACTTCTATTCATCTTTCTAGCCAGCAGGCTCATCCCTTTCTCATATTACTCCATTTATACATGTCTTTGGGGTTTGGTTTTAAGGAAAGTCAATTAGGAGGTCATGCTATTGGCATATAAGCCGCAAAAACATACACAATACATAAAAGTGGCTAAGGAAAGGTGATTCACAGTTTATTACAAGAGAAAAATAATCACCTGAATTACTCATCATGTCATGACTTTCTCTACGTTGGAACAACTATGTGTCTCAATCGTAAATTGTATTTTGAAGAAGTTTACCTTGCATGATTATGACTAATTGCTCAGCTGCTGACTTCCTCAAAGTCAAATCAATGGTGTCCGATATAAAGATACTGTACAGTTTTTCAACTGTCTCAGCCTAAAAATAAAATAAATATATCCTTTTTATTTATCTGTTCACATATTTTCCTGTAACATCTCTTATGGGGAAAAAGCCACCTCAACTCTAACGTCACCAAGAAGGAACAGCAATATGTACATAGCAAGACCTTGGGTTTAAATTTTCTCTCACAACAGATCGGAACAAACAACTGAATACTCCCAAGATCAAGCTAGAATATTATTGCCTCTAAATTTTAAACCCCAAATATCCATTTTGGAGGCTGCTATCACACAAACTGATTCTCTTGGGCTGCTTTATAATCTTTCCAAATTCCTTTTTCAGGGGCTTATAGAGAACTGGGGAGTTTATAGGGTTTCCTGTTGTGTGACTGTATCATCTCTGAGATAATTGCTTTATACAGGTAATCTCAATTTACAACCACAACTGAGCCCAACATTTCTGTTGCTAAGTAACACACTTGTTAAGTGGGTTTTGTCCCATTTTATGACCTTTTTGCTGCAGTTAACTGAACCACTGCAGTTGTTAAGTTACTGGCACAGCTCTTAAGTGAATTTGGCTTCCCCATTGACTTTGCTTGTCAGAAAGTCGCAAAAGGGAAACATATGGCCCTGGGACACTGCAACCCTCATAAATATGAGTTAGTTGCCAAGCTTCTGAATTTTGATCGTATGTCCCTGGGGATGTTAGAATAGTAGCGTGAAAAATGTTTATAAGTCCTTTTTTTCAGTAGCATTTATACTTCAACAGTACCATCTGTATTGCATTTCCTTGCTTAGGAGATCTCTCTGGTAATCAATCTTGTTCAAAGTTTTCTCCGTTCACCTTAAAAACAGATTCTCTTGTGTCATCCAGCTTGAGTTCAATAGGCCTTTCCACAATAAGGATGTTAGAAATACTTGAGAGAATGCTGCCATGCAAAAGGGGACGCTTCAGATGGGACTCTTCTTCTTCCATCAAGTGAAACATTAACTGTTTGAGTGCCACAGAACGAACTCTGGGGGAACAAAACATTTCCTTAGAGCAAACTTGGCGTTCTGACCAAGGCTTCCAGAAACAGTAATTAAGCACATGCTTAGTTAAAACAACTCTTGTTTTATTTCAACGCTGGGAATTATTTTCATTCCCAGCCAGTAATGAATCCCAAACAGTCCCTTCGAGATAAGCACCCACCTTTTTTTTCCTTTGAATTTCTGCCAACAACCACAGTGCCAAATGAATTATAAAAAACCAACCAAAGTACAAAGTCCACACAGAGCTTCAAGGATTAATCCGAACAGAATGAACGACTCTGCTTCCTACGAAGGTTTCATCGCCTTTGCCTGTCCGTTATACCTTATGGGAGGGGCAATCACCTCCAAGCCTGACTCCCAATTCGACCCTTTTGTCTCAGCTGCTCTTGCCTTCTAGCAGCTCTGCGCACATGCCCACTGGGAACAGACTCCCCTTGTTCCTCTGCCTCGCTGCTGCCAGACTCCAGAGGCTCCAGAGTCAGCACCGTACTCCCAGATGGTCCTGGCCCCATCTCTGCATCGGACGCAGGATCCTCGTCCGAGTCCTCTCCAGACTCCTGGACTGGTCCCCGTTCTTCCCCACTGTCCGATTCTGCTGCTGTCTGCACAGGCTGCCAGCGAACCAAAACACTTGGCAAGTTTAAGACTTGTGGATTTCAACTCCCATAATTCCTGAGCTAACATGACTGGAGGACAAATTCTGGGAGTTGAAGTCCACTAGTCTTAAAGCTGTCAAGTTTAAAGACCCCTGCCTCAGAAGGTTCCCAAACTTTTACTGAAGAAATATGTGCACAAAATCTTAATCTCATACCACATGTTTTTTGGATCACTCTTTTATTCATATTACGGTACTTAATTTATTTAAGGCCATAACCAAATTGTTCCTGTTAAAAGCCATAATGGCTGAATTAAATCTGATCAAATTTTTGCATGACATCAGACAGCACTGGCTGCCAGTTAATAATTTTAGGCTTTCAAAAAACGTACACAAAATCAAACAGTCCAATATCAACTCAATGTTGATGTAAAAATACAGTAGACAAGATTTCAATGCCAATGTTTTACAAGTTGCTTTCCTTGTCACCTCAATCAGAATCATAATTTCTATACTCCACTTTCCCAACAGTAAAACAATCTTGTCACTACTTTTTCAACCCAGTCAGTCATAATCAATTTCTACATTCCTCTGCTTTTTTCAAATTAATCTCTTTCAGCTATTTTACAGCCTTCTAAGGATTGGCAGTTTCCAGCACCTCAAGGATGTGCTACTTAATTCTAAAATGATTTATCTAAGTGGAGGGTTGACACTTGGGCTTTCTGCCACTTTTCTATCTTTTTGCAAATTGACTAAATTGACGTGCAGTTGAAAAAGTTGTATCACCTGCAAGCACATATAAAGGAAGTACTAGTCCAAACAAAAATTAGCATACTGTATCTTTAAAATTATATTCCATGGAGGCTAGGGTACAGATAACAACCCTTCCCAGGCTGAAATGTGATTGCTAATTTACTCACAGTGGCTTTTTTGAGAAGAAAAGACGTAGAGAGGCTCTTAGCCTTGTAGTTCTTGGGAGAATCTCTTCATTTTCAGTCGTTGTTTCACTCAGGGTGAGAATACAGTTACCTAGAGGTTCTTCTGTGTTTGCATAACCCTAAGTAAATGCTTACAAGTTAACACAGGCAGTTTATTACCATAAGTAAATATCATGCTCCAAAAGAGACATTGTTTTATTACCAAGAAAACTGTCTCCGTAATTGGCAACAGGAAGTTAATAGACCAATTGATAGACAATTGCCATTTGTTTTTCAAATGTTCATTGTTTGTTGGAGAAGTTCCAATTTTGGGGGACAGTTTCTGGACAATCACGGTTCAATTTTCTCAGCAATGTTGCCTTGAGCTGGTACCGTCACTGCCCACCAGAAATACAGCAAAAAGTTTCCAGCACAATCTATAGTGGAGGTCCCTTATTGTAATGCTCAGGTTCATTAAAGTTCTTTTGTGTGCTTACTAGACTACTGGTACCATGCAACTTCTAACATTTCCTTAAAAAACAACAACAGGATTTTAATATATTTTAATTAAAATAGTTATGTGCCTCCAACATCATCTTCCAAGAAGTAAAATAGGGACCTGCATCATCTCTTTGAAAATACATCAATCTGCTCAGAAAAAGGATAATGGTAAGTAAAGGAAGTCTTAATAGGGAGAGTGGTGGTGATGGGGAATCTAGATGAGGGACTAAATCAGTGCTTTGTATCAGATTGTGCCTGCCACTGTATCCATTTTGACTTTGACAAGTTGTCTCCCATCAACAACCATGGTGTAAAAATAAAATAATGCACCTAGAGTAGCCTCACAGCGAGATAACTGGAAAATAAATTTAACAAATAAATGAATAAATATTCTTAACATTCAAAAATGTCGGGTGCTCTCTGAGCTTGGCTGTTTTCTTGCAGATGTTTCATTTCTAAAGTAGGTAATATCATCAGTGCACTGATGATGTTACCTAATTCGGTAATGAAATGTTCAACCTTGAGTTACAAAATATTCTCTTCTTATTCTAAAAGTGCTCACCAAAAAAAGATGAAGAATTTCGCTTTCTGGATTGGCAGAAGCATGTTGGCAAGTGAAACCAGAAAAATGCCACAACTCTCACAATAAGATGAGTTTGGAATTTTATTTGAAAAAGATTAAGTCAAGCAATAAGTTTCCTGATGGGGTGATTATATTAAATTGATCATTTATATCCCACAAGCCATTTCTCCAAATAACCCTCATGTTATGATCAGTAAAAAATTCAGGATGGTTCTGAACAAGATATCCCTCTAGAAAACTGTCACATCACAAATTTCAAGTTGATGCTTCCTATTTAAAAAGTCTAATGCTACTTACCCATTTGGTTTTAGTTACAAGCATTCAAAGCACAACTCCAGTGGCAACTCCTCTTATTTCTGGTTGCCACGTTTACATATTTTCCCCTATTGTGTAATGTCAGTACTGCTTTTTTCAGCAAAGCAATTAAGTTTATCTGAAGATAAACTATTTTTCAAGAAGATGAGATTACCTGAAGAATTGGAATAACAGGATAGAGAGTTTCAATAAACTTGTTCCAGGTCTCTGCTACCATCATCAATCGACCTTGAAGAAGATACATCAGAAGAAATGTGGCGGCTGAGCACACCTGTTTTAATGAGAGAAAGTACAATAGCGCAATAAAGTGTGTTCAAACCAATTTGCTGGTGTCAAAAATGGAAATTAGGCTTTGCCTTGGGACATTGTACCAAAAAGCTTTTGTGTTTGTTTTTTCTTTTTGTTTCTTTCTTTTTTTAAAAAAAAGCAAGAACAGCTATAAAATATTGTCAAGAATCTACTGCCTGTTAGCACTGAACAGTCTTCAAGTAGAGAATATGATTCAGGTCAAGAAATGCTTTCAATAAAGCACCGAAGATGACTTTTAAAAATAGTGCTCTAGTCTAAGCATTTAGGAAATCTTCACAACTTAAGGTTGGTTTGCTTATTACCTATTGAAAAAGCAGAGCATATTAGAGAAAGATCTTAAGATACTAACTGAACTTGAATCTTAGAAAAATTGGGGGCGGGGGGGGAGGAGAAACAAATGAGAATGATACTGTATAAAAATCAAGCCTAGGTGCTACCAAATGACTAATTGCACTTTAGTCATTTTCTGTATTACTTCTTTTTATATTTTTGAAAATTCTCAAACTTGTTGCAATCCTAAGCATATTGAAAACAAAAGCAAGTTTCATTAATTTTAGTAAAGATAATAAACATAATGCAGGTTTGTGATCTATATATAGCCAGTTACAAGAGAGCAATTAATTAAAAAGCTAAACAGGGTGGAGTTTATAAAGGTACAAAGCTTTGGGTCTACTAATTTCTTTTAATTTTCAGATTAATTCTGGTAACGGTATCATATTCAGAATGATGTACCTCATGCTGAGAATCCTGAAGCCCAAAAGTGCATATTTCATAAAGAACTTTGGGATGAAGCAGAAAATGTATACCACAACTGATCGAAGAAATAGACTTTACAGCATTATGAATGCCTAAACATTCCTAAAACAAAGATAAAAGATGTTTAAATATTAACCTGACAACACATGAATACTTAAGTCTACTGAGTTAGATAGAGCAACCCACTTTCAGACTTAAGTACATACACACACACACACACATACATATCCATATTCCTAAAACTGCAACTTTTCAAGCTTACAACTGGGAGCAATACTGCTGGTTTCCTATTGCTAAAACATCCTGTCATCTAGGTCAAAACTCCTAGTTTCTCACAGCAAGAAATCAGTGATCTGCAAGCAGACTAACTTGGAATAAGGAAAACCTTTCTGCTTGGTCCCTCCTGCCAAACTTCTTTAAGGTTGCTGGGAGAGAATGAGAAGAAAACAGCAAGAACATGAGGGAATGCTCTCACCCTGACAATTGATAAAGAGCAAAAGTACTGTCCAGCATGCAGTTAATTCATTTCCTTAAAGCAATGGTATCATTAAATCATAACACATTATAATATGAAAAATTCAAACAGATATCCCTTCCTCTTTGAAACTCCGCAAATTAAAAAAAACCCTCAGAAATAATTCACACCAGGCAATCTCAAGTTTATATGGTGAAAGATTTCAGTTTTTCAGCCTGAGTAAATCCCTGTGAGGTTATTAAATGGAAAAAGGGGGAATATAGATGTAAGAGAGGGGGGTGGGGGAAGAGTATCTCTTGGATTCTGAAGAAACCACAGTCCTTGTTAAATGCTAACCTTAACAATGTCAAGACAGCAGCGATAGGCTTCTGTTCTAATATTTGGCACAGGATGTGACAACAGATGGAGAAGCACCTTCTGACTTTTATTCTGCAGCAGGGGGTCACCTCCAGCAGGTTTCCAGCTACAACCAGAAAAACCGAGTATTACAGAAATGGCTTCAAGGCTTAGATAGCAAATTCCCTCCGCTCAAAACCCACAGAGGTCTTGGGTTATTATTCCATTATTTTTTTCACTGTCATTCCTGGGTAGGTCCCCAAGAAATTGAAACTTGACAAGTTAAGAGATTAGGGGTAATTTCAGCAGTTAAACTGACCCTGTAGTCTTTTATTCTGAAGAAAAATGAAGGAAGTTTTATTTTAATGTTGTTAGCTCTTCCTGACACATTTGTGGATGTCACCATTGTCAAGGTAGTAAAATTTGGGACGTTTTTGTGATCATCGTTTGCCTTAAATTTCTTTGTAAATCATAAGATGTAGATAAAACACACACAAATCTGTATTTTGATTAGATGGATGTGTGTATTGGACTACGTAAAAAATCTATCTATACCAGAGGTGTCAAACTCAAGGTGCTTAAATCTGTCCCACAGGGCTGCCTGGAAATAGCAAAAGACCAGCCCGCGGTGCCTCTGGTAGTCAAAATGGGGCACATGTGAGGGCCGCATGCACCCCAGACCATTTTTTTTGGCCTGAACGGCTTCCAACAGCTCTCTGCCAGCCCAAATGGGACACAGGGTGCCACCCACCACACCCTATTTTGACCCGGCAGGGTACTGCAGGAGGTGTCCACCCCGTTTTTCCTCCTCAGCCGGCCCTCAGAAAACTACAGTGCTAATCTGGCCCTTAAAGAAATCCAGTTGATCTATACATAGCAACATGTTACCACATAAATGGTACCATATAGTGCAAATTTCCCATTTCATTATCAGAATGATGTCTTAAATTTATCCAATATGTTCTACAGAAACAGATTTTGTATGGATAAGTATAATAAAATATGGGATACATTTATACAAAGTACAGTAGCTTAAATAGAGCATGATAGCCATATGAGTACTGGAATATATATATTCATAATATATATTCATATTCATATAAATGCATAATCTTTGAATTAAATAATTACTGTATGTAAAAAATTGAAACTGTACTGCTGTAAAAACATATAACAGTACTATATATTTTAATTTTTTTTTTGCTATTGCATTTTTTCACTTATTTTTAAGGACTCGCTATGTATTCTTTTTTATAATTATATATATAAACTCATTTAACAAATTTCTCACTTAGCAACATATATTTTGGGTTCATTTGTGATCATAAGTCAAGGACTACCTGTATTTTTGCATTTTATTCATTTCTTTTTCTCCTTTTCTATTATTATTTTAAAAGCAACAAAACATAAATAATTTATCCAATATGTTTGTTTATTCATTTGAAAGGACAATTTATGTGGATTTATATACTTAATAGCTGAAAAAGTCATCACAGAATCCTATCATAAAATTTTCATACGGCATGCAAATTGCCCAACTTACATATCTGAGCAAATGTTGAGGTATTCCTTAAGTAGAACAAAATACTGGTGAAACGGAAGACCTTTTATGGCTTGTTCTACCAGTTCAAGTAAATCAAGATGATTTTTTTCTCCCTTTTAAAAAAGTGAAATATATTATTTAATTTTAAAGAGTAGAGAGATGAATTAATGATCTATAAATTAACTTGCATTCATATGACCAACAAAAATAATTTACTAATAACGATGAATGTAACAACTAGCAGCAACTCTCAAAAATTCTATAGACAAGACAAACCAGTTTACCGATAGAATTACCAATATCCATATCAAATTATTAAATACTTAAAATACTGATTATCCGGACTACTCTTACAACACTTAAATAGGTCTAGGAATACATATATGACATTTTAAACTATTTTTTTCCCACTGAAGTTCACTTAAACTGAATGCTTTACCTCCTTGCGAACATCCAACATAAAATTACAAGCACACTCAATTGAATAGGCAGCTTCTGCAGCTTGTTTATAAATACTGTAGTTTTCTGAATTCATTTGTTCCAAATAAGCTGTGATTGATTCGTGTATATTTGGATATTCTAAGGAAAATGGCATGTCCACGGAAAGAACAAACAATGCTGTCACTAAAGACTCTGGTAAAACACTAGTGGCCTGGAGGAAATAAAAGAAAAAAGGTTTAGGTAAAAGTCTAAAGGTCAATCTCTATAATAGTCTTATATATTAGTCTTAAATATTGATTATTTTGAGTATGTGACCAACATAATTTCTTCAAACAAAATTATGTTTAATTTGCAGAGATATTATGTCAAATTACCTCAAAGTAAATCACTTGGGAATTTTTAACTACTGTTAAAATAGTTAATGTGAGATTAAAAAAAATGTATTGCAGAGACCTTTAGAATTCAGAACCTCCAGCATAAATATAGCAACCAGGTTTCATGTGGAATGTTTGCAGAAAAAAACCCCTTTGCTTAATTTAAGAAGGTAATTGTTCAATTTTCTGGGACAGACATATGTCAGGATTTTTAATCTCTTATTGCTTTCTTCTAGATTATTTGAAAGGTCTGAAATCTATCTATCCTAGATAAACTCTTAGGAACTGAGTTCTCCTAACCCAAAAAGTGATTTCAATAATCCATCAAAATAAATATTTACAATATAATTATATTTTGCTTATTTCTGCCCCCACCAGGTAAATATATTTTGGCCTTCTTTTATTAACTATTTTAGTTGCTTCATAAATTATATTGCTTCATCAAATGGAATGAATTTATCCTCACAAATACAGCAATTACAGCAGTACATTTAATGACATTCAAAATTACAATTGTACTGAAAAAAGTGACTTATGACCATTGTAGCATCCCCATGGTCACATGATCAAATTCAGATGTTTGGCAACTGACTCATATTTATGAGGGATGCAGTGTCCTGGAGTCATGTGACCACCTTTTCCGACCTTCTAACAAACAAAAGCAATGGAGAAGCCAGATTTACTTAACAACCGTGTTACTAACATAACAACAGGAACGATTCACTTAAGAATGGTGGCAGGAAAGGTTGTAAAATGAGGCAAAACTCCCTTAGCAAATGTCCCATTTAGCAACAGAAATTTTGGGTTCAGTTGTAGTTGTTTAAATTGAGGACTACCTGTACATATTATTTTAAATGGTTCTGTAAAAGAAAAAGAACAATTACATATTAAACTTACAAATGATACATGCAACAGCTGACGTTTGCAATGCAGCACAGCAATTTTTAAGCAGGAATATAGAGCAGCAAAATTACACAAGTGACCAGCAATGTTTTTTAACGTTATAGGTAGTTCTTCATTTTTGACCACAATTGGGACAAAAATTTCCATTGCTAAGTAAGGACGTTGCACCTGGCTTTATGACCTTTTGTGCTACAGTGGTTAAGTGAATCACTGCAGTTCTTAAGTAAATCATGGTTGTTAAATGAATCTAGCTTCCCCATTGACTTTGCTTGTTGGAAGCCAGCTGGGAAGGTCATGAAAGGCAATCATACGACCCTGGGACACTGCAACTGTCATAAATATATGCCATTTTCAAAGCACCCATGAGACTGTGGCCGGTCGAAAGTCCTAACTTTTTTTAAAGTGCTACTTTAACTTTGAATAGTTGCTAAATGAATGGTTGCATGTCATGGATTATCTGTATCAATCTCTAGCTGAAATCAGAGACAAGAATGAGCTCCACACCTGCTCAGACACAATAGAATTAACTATTATCAGAAAAATCTCAACATTAGTAGGACTGTCATTTAAGATGTAAAGTTCTCATCCAGCCACTAGGGGGCAAACAATACACTTGTCATTTTTATACTTGTTCCTTTAAAATGCTGTTTTGCAATACCGTTCACTTATTTATTGCCCAACATCACAGTAAAATGTCGGTAACTCAGTCCAGAAATCTATTCTGAATGAACAGCAACTTCAAGTGGCTTGGCTTTGACAACTGCAATTGAAAACATCACTATAAGGAGTTTAAAATTTGAACACCAAGGCAAAGCAACTGCTTAGCATGATGAAAGCAAAACAATGAAAACCAGATACTAATGGGTATGTTTCAAAACTAGACAGAACATCAACTACTTCTAGTAATGTATTCGATGCTATAGGTTGTTTGATATAGTAGAGTCAGGGAGATGGCCTTGAGAGAAATAGGGAAAAATCTTTACATAAGAAAGAGGGTTCTTTCTTGTTTTTAAGAGTTCTGCACTGTATTTCCCTTTATCTGTGTCTAATTGAAATATTGCCATTTAAATGCATGCTATCCTAAGCATTTTTCCCAACATAACCTTGAAGATGTAAAGAAATGGGCACATCTCACCTTCTCTACAGGTACCAATACTTGCAGGAGTCGAACTGTGAAAAGTGAAACACTAACAAATGCCATCCTGTGGTGCACTACTGCAAGCTCAGGTTTTTCTGAGCTGGTGTTACTTTTGTGATAAGTAATGATTTCACCTAATGAATCTAGGATTCCAATCAGTTTTTCTTTCTGTAGACGAAACAAAAAAAGTAGCAAATCAATATGCCCAACATAAGCCAGGAATACAGTCACTTGCTAACGCAGGAATTGTTTGAAGATAAAGCCTCCCTGGATAATTTTTTCATTGTTTAATTTAGCTATTTAGTTTCTATCTCATATTCCCATCAATGAATAGCATTTGTGCTGGCTAACCAAAATAAAAGTCACAAACATGTATTTCTCCTAGCTCTATTTTGACTTCATGGCAAAATAGATTCACAAGCAATTGATTTTTTTTAATCATTACAAATCTACAAAGAAAGTATGTTCCAACCTATTTTAAAAAAAATACTATGTCAGTGCAATTGCTGAGATGAGGTGGACTTCTTCACTAATGAACAGCCCCTATGTTAGCACCTTATTCATTAGTTTATGATGTTCTCCTTTAAGAATGTCCTTTTGTTCTTTGCTACTTTATGTTTCAAGGATTTTTTTTTTAGAGAACGGGAGAAAAAAAATAAAGTTTTGTCACAACATCATTTGCATATTCCTACTCTTAAGAAGAAAAAGCAGCAGTCTAGTTTTTCTAGTCTAGTGAAAAATAATAATAAAGCAAGGCAGTCTGAAGAAATTTGAAGAGGACTTCAAACAAGGAGAAGACCACGCAATGGGAAGAAAAAGATCACTCTTAATTCCCTCAGTGACTTTTTACGTAATTTTACTTTTACTCATGACTGGATTTTTAAAAAAGATGAATACAGAATATATCATTCAATTTTTAAAAATGATTATGCTTTCTAAACCCTTCATCATAATGGTAGGCTTAAAACAGAGATAAAGTAGATGTAATATTTTTTTATCTTAAAGATAAAAAGATGACACATTTAAGATAAGCTAACAATCACTGTACGGAATGGCCTTGATTATGGTGGTGCATAAATATAATTAGCAAACAAATAAATAAGCAAATTATTCTGGTTAAAATAGAAAAATTTTAAATTCTCACAAATTCTAGACCAAAGAGACTCTTGTCTTCCCAAACATCTTC